CTAATTTATGGATAACCTTTGAACGAATCTTAAGTAACATTGAGAAATATTAGCTGGTCAGCAAACACCTAGTATAGAGTAAAAATATGTTATACAAAACCAAAGAAATAAAGTGGATGCACTTCTTATACGTGGTTCAAAAACTTGTCCAAGTTAGAAAGAGGTTCAGAGGTTCTAAAATTCTAATGCATGCAGCAGAGGAAATCATCCATATGGCTACGGAATAGTCGGCATCTGGAGCCATGACGAAGTCTCAAAAACTCTTTCAGCCTCAACCACATAGATTAAATATTGCCTGTGTGCACTCCAGCTGTGGAGTGCACAAAATGCTACTTGTGGATAACGACACGATACACATAATCAAGTCTATATAGGAGTCTGTACGCTCTCCAAACATCCGTATATATTGTAGTACCTGGTTGCAACCAGTGTTACTGGTGGTTTTATTATCCAGTTCGCAATCATTGTCATAATTTGCCTTAGTTAGGAATTACATATAGGGTTTTCATCACGAACTGACATCAGCTATAATGCCAGAAATTTATTTAGCCAAATGGATGAAAGGCTTTCGCGTTAAAATCCGAGATCTATTATCTTATACCTGATTGATTCGTCCACAAATTATAGTCCCGCCGTTTTATTTGTTATAGCCGCTCAATTATCGCGTTTTGTACAAAATTCCCTATGAACCGATCGTACGTTAGCATTAAGCACTGAAGTTGGTGCCGTAACCTTGAAACCTCTAAAACGCCTCTGATTGGCTCGTCCATAAATTAGAGTCTCGCCGACAAATGATTGATGTTGATCATTATTTATTTTAAGCATTATAATACACCTTTTAAACAATCTTCAAAATTAGGCAGATTTTTTTCAGTATTTGGTTTTATAAGATTAAGTTACTTGGTTTAACTTTTGTCACTGTTTGAATAACTTCCTTTTAACATTGTGCTTAAACTAGTAAAAGTGACCTTTAGTGATACCACATGACAATGTCAAATGTTTGCATTAAACATTAGGCTTTGATACACTGTGTTTGTTTCAGTCAGAACCCCTTAATTATCATATGATACATATCATATTTCATTTAATTATTCTAATAGAATCATACATTTCTTATATACTGAATGACTTCAAATCAATTCATTCTTTGCTTTTCTTAATCCTCTGTAGTGTCGGTTGACACGTTAAGCTTATATGGCTTATTCTAACTTTCGGATAGCCCAATCTATTCATTCTATTTGAGTCACATTTAGACCTTGTTAATTATCTGCTTATCAATCATCACTGTTTTTATATGAGCGCATAGGTGTGTGTACACTTCTTATCCGATTGCTCATCACATGTCTGCAGCCTGTTTTTGTGTGACTATAAATATTGATTAACGCTTAATCAAATGGAATTGGCACATATGTCTTCTTCATCGCGCGTCGTTTTGCTTCTTTCTATTCCATTCGCTTCATATACAAAATATATGTATCTAAAAGTCCATTCTCTTTATTTGGCTTATTCAATTCCGTTATTGACTAACGCGATTTAAGTCATTGGTTATATACGAGGATAAGCGATAACAAACATTCATATGATCTACTTGGAGTCACATCCCGGGCCAGTAAAGTGGAGAGCCCTTCGACGAACATCGTCCAGTCTAAATGTAGACAAAATAAAAGGCCCCACTAAACCTCTATAATCATAAACATACACTTGAAAATAATACACTGCCAAAGAAAGGTAAACATTATAAAGTATATTATGTTATTGACAATATAAATTCGAAAATTTTCGTTCACATTACCAATGATAATTGAATATAATTAAAAGGGGGTTTTGTGGAGATTTTTAGTAATTTAATAATTGAATTCATGAGTCAATTAAAAGCTAGATCACCATGGAAAACTTGGACGGTTGTTTTGTTCTAGTATATGACTGCTCAACAGTGTGAACCCATGATCCTGCCCCGCGGGATTCGAACCCTGAGCTCAGGAGTCTTATACTAGGGCGAAACAGCCGTACAATACTTTCATGTTTTTCAGGGTGTTCTAGCTTTAATTGACTCAAAAATTCAACTATCAAATATTTATCAGTGAAATTGAGGCTCTAAATTCTATTAAGTATCTGATGATCACTGAATATTGTCTAAATACAAACTACATTATCAATTGATTTAGCTTATAAATATAAGGTTTTCCTCCTAAATTGATAAAACCCATTTAATTCTTTTTAAACTCATGGTAAACATTGAAACTTTGCGTAGATATAAACATGTTCAATCAAAGATCATGAATTCTCTAGTTGATACATTCATTGAGTACATATTTATACGATTATTGATTCATTCATATTCAGATTTTAGGTAAATAGATTCTAAATAGTCATCATTGTAAAATGTAACAAGATTATAACTTCTACGCAATTTCTATGGAAAGTTTTCCATCATTATAATAGTTTATTTCTTCTATCAAACATCCTCTATTCATTAGATTATTCTATAATGTAATAATTAGATGAATTTTCTCTACATATTATATTTGTAAATGAATTATTCAAATTAGAGTTAAGACTTTTGTTACTTTTTCAAAATCTTGGCTGTGAATGTTATGGTATAAATGGAACTTGTTGAATGGAGTTTTGTTCTTTGAGCTGGATGGTTTGATTGTGGAGCTTTCATCGTTCATCTGAACGACATCGTCATCAGCACAGACTTCAGAGAGAAGTGAAGTGTTTGAATTTGTCCATATATGGTTCACAGATTGTCCTTTAGACCTTAATTACCAGTCAAATCCCATGATATTTCCTCACTTACAACAATGCACATAGACAACTGCGGACACTCATTTGACTGGAAAAATGTGGAAATCTTGGATAGAGGAAATTCCAAAAACACCAGAGGATTTTTAAAAGCTTGGCACTTAGGTCGATCAGCAATCAACAAGCACATTGAAATCGATCCAATGTATATATATATCTATATCTATATATATATATATATATATATATATATATATATATATATATATATATATATATATAGAGAGAGAGAGAGAGAGAGAGAGGAAGCGAACATAATACCTGAGTGTTTACTTGAATGATTATCCAGACATATGTTCTACGTAATTTAATGTGTTTATGGAAACGGGCAAGGTATCTGGTAAGCAACGGTATGCTTGTACACAAAGTAGTCAGTTATAGAATTCAGTAAATAGATCTCCTTAAAACTAGAAAGAAAATAACTTTTGACATTTTATATTACTTACTTACCTATACCTATCACCCCTAATCGAGGAGCACAGGTCATCCACCAGTATTCTCTATCCGACTCTGTCCTGGACAATCCTTTTCAGTTCTTTTCACTTGCTATTAATCTTTTTCATGTCTGTTTTCAATTCCCGATGCAGCGTGTTCTTTAGCCTTCCTCTTTTCCATTTCCCTTTACGATTCTAACTTAGTGCTTACCTCGTGATTTACTTTGTTGATTTTCTTAATGTACGTGCTATCCACTTCCAACATGATATCCTAATTTCCTCTTCACATGGAAGCTTGTTTGTTCTCTCCCACAGCAATTTTACATTTTATATTGCATATTTTAATTCATTTGCACTCAGTTATTAGTATGAGTGATTTTAATAAAGCGGACAAAGTAACAACACAACACGCCACGATTATTATTCGAAGTTATTTCACTATGCTCGTTGGTCATTATGTAGCTGTTTAAATACTGAGGCAAGCAGTTGTGAATCCAAATGTATTGAGAATTTAACAGAAGGTTGAAAAAAATAAAATTTAATTCTCAGTCTGTGTACAACATATCGATGGAGTATCCAGTCTGGGGATAGCACAATCTCAATCACCGGTTGTATTATCATTTAAACATAGTATACCGTAGAAAAAGAAAAGATTTTTATTCCGGTATTATATCTATTTAACTTTCATCATAGACTAATTCAAATGTATTTACAGTAAGCTCTGTTGAGTGTTTATGAGGATAATAATGGAAATTTCACGACTGATAACTATCATACTAAACTAACATATAAATCAAAAAGTATAAAACTTTTTATTCTGTTCACTAAGTGCATTTTCTGTTTAATACAGTCTATATGGAAATGATTATTTTCATTAGTTCATCTAACTTACTGTTACTATGATGACATTTTTATGATGGAAAATGTATTACAAAGAGTAAGCTTTCGAAATGGTTCTATCTAAAGTTGTATCTCAGATAATCTAACATACGAGACATTTTTTATTCAGCTCATCGTTATTATTATTAGAACACATAAATATTAGTACAAAGTGGCACCGATTATATATGCGTCACACAAGTCACTTAATTTCAGCCTGTGCTGAAACACTGCCTGGCTGCTCAAAACGAAACAGGTGGTTTTCTCAGTGGGCCACACCCCGAGACATTGCTTGAGGGTCTAGTCCACAAGGCAGTGGACCAACTTTAAGAGATGCAGTCTCATAGTAGCTGGTGACTAACCATTGGTTCATAAACCATATGTTTCTTTAGGATCCTGCATCCCATATGCACAATTGGTTAGGAATCAGGATTTTCCATATCCATGAGAGCGGTTAAAACTCCAGACATTCGCTTAACTCATCCACGTTTCTCAAGGCAAGACGTGAAGAAAATCCCAAGTGTAACAGACTAATAGAAGCTTAGCTTATATCTGTTCAATTTCAACAGTACATGTCAGATGTGTTGTTGGTCAAGTCTCGAATATTAAGCTATAGAAGGAATAGTGGGAGTGGAAATGGTAAAATCATGATTGGTTATTTTAACGCGTAATGATTTTGATGATGTTTTGTTCTCTGAATTGAATGATTTGATCGTGGAGATTTCATCGTTCTTTTGAACGACTTCATCATCAGCACAAACTTCTACCATCTATCTTATGTTTTCCATCAATTTATTATTGAATTTTGAAAAAAAATTGTTCCGCTTTTTTTCCCTTAGAACAGAATATCAATCTTCTTTCTTCTGTTTTCTTCGTTAATAGATCTTATCGTTGGCAATTATTTCGTGAAAAAATTTGGTCTGTTATAGATATATCACCAAGACTTATACATTCACGTTTTAGTAATTATAGACATAGAAAACAATATACACCTAATGAATTATTCTGTAATGATTATAGTTCAACAAGTGATCAATCAAATTCCAATGATAATCATAGTTTTAATTCAAATCAGAAATCAATAAATCCAATCAATCATTATTCTATTAGTAATGAACAATCTGATGATAGTTTAGAATCAAAATCATTTCATTTATCTACAACAATTCAATCAATTCATCATTGTTGTCATGAAAAAATCAATAAATATACAAAATGTTCTAGTTGCTATCCAATGAATAATCATGAATCAATTTATTTAATATGGTTAAGACATTTTTATTTTATTTATGAAACCTTAATTATAACATCCGCTGTTGGTGTATTTATGTTATCCACAGTGAAAGAATATCGTATCCCATTTTATATGAATATTACTGGATATACAGATGCTTATAATGATACCATTATTGATTATACAAATAATCATTTAGAAATTATCACTTTATTTAATCAATCGGATAAAACAAATTATAGTTATTTTACATTACCATCTAAATGGCTTGTACAAATGGATATTTTCTTTTCTATAGCTATTACTATTGATGTATTAATACGAATGATCTTTTGTCCATGTTTTCTAATTTGGTTCTTTTCATTATCTACATTGATTGATATTTTATCCTTAGTACCATTCTATTGTGAATTTATCTTTTATGAATTAGTTTATACTTATAATAATGATAATCATTATCATACTAATCCAGATTCAATATGGTGGTTAATTCGTATTCTTAAAGTAGAAGAATATTTTATCATTTTAAAAGTATTTGTTGTATTAAGATTATTTCGTTTATTAAGAAGACATAGAGGGACAAGGGTATTATTTTATACTATACGGACAACTATTACAGATTTATCGATTATTATTATATTAATTTTAGTAAGTGCATTATTTTTTGGTGCAGCAATTTATTTCGTGGATCCAACATTTACCGATATACCAAAAGGTTTTTGGTGGGCATTAATCACTATGTCTACTGTTGGTTATGGAGATTTAGTACCAAATAATACAGGAGGTTATATAGTTGCTACAGCATGTATTATATTAGGTACATTATTAGTATCCTATACAATACCTGTATTAGTGAATCATTTTTTATTATATTATGCACATGCTGATCAATTATCTATGGTGAAACAATTACATCGTACTGCTAAACGTAAAATACGAAATAGAAAAATGTCACGTTATTTACAAAAAGCTTTATTCAATGCTAAATCTATAGTGAGTTCAACAATGACAAATGTTAATAATAATAAAACATAATGACACAGAGACACACACACACACACACAAACATTTCATCCCTACTTGTTTTCTACAATCATTGATCATCTTCTTCATCTATCCTTTACTCATCTTCAATCTCTTTCTCTATATTTATTAAAATCTTTAAATAAACAACCATCAATAGTAGAAGGGTATAGTGTAAAACAAAAAGAAAGAAAACAAAACAATACATGAAACACTCATTCACCAAATAACTACATATACATACATGTATATTTCGCCTGGATACTAACTCATCCCTTTCGATTATTGTACATTGTTTTCTTATTTTTTGTTTTCTTTTTCGTTGTTGTTGTTGTTGTTAGAATCCAATGCTTATTTTTTCTGGTTAGCGTTTCTTTTTAGCGAGTTAGTTTTCTACGGGATGAGGTCGCCAACTCCATACCCAACCCTCCTCTTTTATCCGGGCTTGAGACCGGCAGTATCCCCCGGAGAGACTCCATGCGAAGTTAATCCAATGATTTACTCTCATCATAAATGATAATTATTTTTATGAATATAAATCATTTCAATCTATTTTATGAATGAAACTTTGCATTATCAATGATATTCTATTAAAAGTTCAATGATTTTTTTAATGTTTTGATCAAACTGTAATTGTATAGAATCATAGTAACAAATGGATCACCAATGATTATTTTTTACAAAAAAAAAATCGAATTTAGGATCACTTTTATAAATGGGTGATAGTTTAGTTTACAAATCAATATCTTTATTCAATATGATTCAGTGTTATCTAATTCGTTTCTTTTCTTTCTTTCTTTATATGATGTATTATAAATAACTTTTTTTTAAAATAGAGATAAAGTATAAATCGCTCTGTTTATAAGGATATCAAAGGTGTCATTGTGGTTTCTATTTTGTTTAAAACATTTCCTAAATGTTCACAATGGATTGATCATTGGTTGCTGATCAATTATCTTCTGTGTCAGATCCTTTTTAGTGCAGATCGAATTCTATCGATCAAATTGCAATGTAGTCACTAGTCTAGGGGACACAACATTGCATGTACTATGTTGAAATAAGATACTGGTTGGAGGTATTCAACAGGAAACTCTGAACCCAGATTTCGTGCTATTTGATACTCGTCAGCAAACTGCACTTGTTATTTTTAAGGGAAATGATACTCCCTGATGGATTAGGTTCTGTGTCACCCAGCTTCACAGTCAAAGACGTTACCACTGAGTAATCCAGGCCCCAACTGACCTCCTGTAGGACTGAGATATATTCACAATGGATTGATCACTGTTTTGGTGATCAATATCATCTCTGTTAGATCCTTTTTAGTGCAGATCGGATTCTATTGATTAAAGTGCATTGTAGTCACTAGCCTAGAGGACTCGACATTTCCAAATGTTTTCACACATCAGACTCTTGATACAATTCATCGTTTCACGTTTCATCATTTTTTGCATAATCTTAATTGCAACAACAGTTTAATACAAATGAATAATTGAATTTTAACAACCAATAAGAAGAATTAGTAAAAATAAACCATAGTTTATTAGTTTCCAATCACATAATAATATGGACACAAAATAGCACTAATTCAATAGCATTAGTACAAAACAACAGTCCAACTCTCCCTAATTCTTAATGATTGTTTTCCAAAACTATTTCTTGATGTAAACTACACAGTGAATAATCTCCAGAAATTTTGTTTTCGGCACGAATTGTATTCTATGAAATTATGGTGCATTGTGGTATAGTTGTTCATATATTTAGGCATGAGAATTTCTACTTAACTATTGTTCTGAGATACAGGTTTGAGTAACTATTCCTCTTGTTTTTCCCCGTTGGTTCGTGGGAGAAGATACGGTTCGACAGCCGATCAGCGACTGCGTAGCAAATTATTAGACGAAGATATGGATGGACCAATCAAACTTAAAATAACGAATCTTGGATTTTTGTGCGAAATAGATTCATCTATGTAACTAAGTAGGCTTTTAGCATTACAACCGGTGTCAGTGCATCATAAGAAATTTAGTTCTGATTTTTAAACGTAATTACCAGCTCTGACCCCTAATCCCAACATCTCACTCTAATTCATAATCCTGTTTTGACCTTAGTGAATAGTTGAATTCTCTTAAGGCTACTTTAGTATCTCCCAAAAATGGCTCATAAATTATAGTCTGTTCACGTTTAACCGTGCAATTCCGATACCTTATCCACAAGGTCAAACAAATAATAACTGGACTCACATGTTACCATCAACAAGTTATATTAAATAGCCTAGTATATCAAAAACATTAATAAGTTACGACTCAAGTTCCCTGTATGTCAGAAGTTATGATCAATGTCCATTCACATATCCTTATAGTTCACTTAGCTTTCTTAGTGTCTACAATTCGAATTTGATTGAATTCAATTCATTTCGTGTTGGTTCATACTTTTCCAGTGTTAAAAAGGTGCCAAGTATTCAGCATTTGCCGAAAATTCCTCCCTTCATCTAGTGCGTAAATATTGTTTACTTACTGACTTACTTACGCCTGTTAATCCTCGTGAAGGAACATAGGCCACTCACCAGCATTCTCCATCCAACCCTGTCCTGGGCAATTCTTGCCAGCTCTATCCAGTTGTTATTCACCCGTTCCATATCTACTGTTATTTCCCGATGTAATATGTTCTTTGGCCTTCCTCTTTTCCGCTTCCCTTCAGGATTCCAAGTTAGGGCTTACATCGTGATGCAGTTTGATGATTTGCGTACTCTATGTCCTATCTATTTCCATCGTCTTTTCCTAATTTCTTCTTCATCTGGAAGCTGGTTTGTCCTCACAGAAGGATGTTGCTGATGGTATCCGGCTGATGGATGTTGAGTATCTTGCGTAAACGACTATTTGTAAATACTTGTACCTTCTTGATTGTGGTTGTTGTAGTTCTCCAAGTTTCAGCTCCGTACAGTAGGACTGACTGCCTTGAAGTTGGTATTGAATATTGTGACTTTGATATTGGTTGAAAGTTGATTTGAGTTCCATATGTAAAATTCGGCCCTTGCTTTACCAATCCTCGCCTTTACGTCTGTATCTGAACCTCCTTCTTCATCGATGATGCTTCCCAGATGTGTGAGGGATTCTACATCTCCCAGAGTTTCGCCATCAAGATTGACTGGATTGCTGTTCTCCGCTTTGAATTTGAGGACGTTGGTTTTCCCCTTGTGTATGCTGAGGCTTACTGATGCAGAGACTGCTGCTACACTGGCTGTCTTTTTCTGCATTTGTTCATGTGTATGGGATAGGAGGGCTGGGTCATCTGAGAATTCCAAATCGTCTAACTGATTTTGAATTGTGCATTGTATACCGTGTTTTCCCTCAAATTTCGAGGTCTTCATAATCCAGTCGACCACCAGAAGAAAGAGGAAGGGAGAGAGTAAACAGCCTTAGCTGACTCCGGTCCTTAATTAAAATGCATCTGTCAGCTGTCCTCCATGCACGACCTTGCACTGTAGTCCGTCGTATGAGTTCCGGATAATGTTGACAATCTTCTCAGGAACTCCGTAGTGTCGAAGAAGTTTCCATAATATTCTCCTATCTACACTGTGAAATGCTTTTTCATAATCAATGAAGTTGATGTACATTGAAAGGTTCCACTCATTCGATTGTTCGACGATGATCCGTAGTGTCGCAATTAGGTCTGTGCACGACGGAACCTTACGGAATCCAGCTTGTTGATCTCGAAGTTGGGCGTCTACTGCATCCTTCATCCGGTTCAGGAACACTCTGTTGAAGACTTTCCCTGGTATTGACAGTAGTGTAATGCCTCTGTAGTTTTCACATTTGCTGAGGTCTCCTTTCTTTGGAATCTTGACGAGGTGCCTTTTTTTCCAGTCCATCGGCACTTGTTCCTCCTCCCAAATCATTTTGAATAAAAGGTGAAGCATGTTTGTAGTTAATTCTATGTCTGACTTCAGTGCTTCAGCTGGTATATTGTCGGGTCCTGCTGCTTTCCAGCTCCTGATTTGTCTGGTGGCCATTCTGATTTTTCCATCGTTGGTGGATTGACATCTATAGGAAGATCTGTGTGCGCTGCTTCAATATCCGGTGGATTCATTGGAGCCGGCCTATCCAGGAGTTCCTCGAAGTACTCTACCCATCTGTTCCGCTGTTGTTGAATTTCGGTGATTGGCTTACCTTCTTTGTCTTTGACTGGCCTCTCTGTTTTACTGTATTTCCCTGATAGTTTCTTCGTTGTATCGTGAAGCTGTTTCATATTTCCTTCTCTAGCAGATTTTTCCGCCGTCGTTGCTAATTCTTCCACGTATTTCTTCTTGTCGGCTCTAATGCTTTTCTTCACTTGCTTGTTTGCTTCCATGTATTCAGCTTGTGCTTGGACTTTCTCTGCTCGTGTTCGGCTGTTGTTTATTGCTGCCTTCTTGTTCTTCCTATCTTTGATCTTGTCCAGTGTTTCTGTAGAGATCCATTTCTTATGATGGTATTTCTTTAGACCCAGAACCTCTTGACATGTTGAAGTTAATGCTTCCTTGATGCCTTTCCAGTTGTCCTCCATACTAGTTTCTTCTTCTTTCAGTAGATCTTGTAAGGCTTGGAACCTGTTGTTCAGAGCTATCTTGAATTCATTGAGTTTGTCAGTATCTCGAAGGAAGGCTGTATTGAACCTTTGTAGTGCTGTTTGTCCACTTGTCTAGTTCTTTTTTAGCTTCAATTTTAAATTGGCTACAACTAGGTGGTGATCTGAAGCTATATCATCTCCTTTCCTGGTTCTCACATCTTCCATTGTCCTTCGGAATTTTTTGTTGATGCAAATATGATCTATCTGGTTCTCTGTAGTGTGGTCTAGTGAGATCCATGTAGCCTTGTGTATACGCTTGTGTGGAAATATTGTACCTCCTATGACCAATTTGTTGAATGCACATAGATTTGCAAATCTTTCTCCATTTTCGTTTATCTCTCCCAGTCCATGTCGTCCCATAATATCTTCATATCCAGTGTTGTCTATTCCGACTTTGGCATTTAGATCTCCCATCAGAATAGTTAGGTCCTTCCTTGGGGATTTCTCAATGATTGACTGTAGCCGCTCGTAGAACTGATCTTTAATGTCGTCGTTGCTCGCATTGGTGGGTGCATAACATTGGATAATACTCATTAAGATCCCCTCCTTCTTTGTTTTGAATGATGCTTTGTGATTCTGGATCCGTGAGATTCCCATTCTACAAGTTCATTTCGTGCTACTTTGGACAGCATAAGAGCGACTCCCTGAGTGTGTGGAGCATTTTCCTCTTCATGACCGGAGTATAGTAGCATCTCTCTCGTATTTAGCCTTTGTTGTCCAGCTTGGGTACAGTGGGTTTCGCTGATTCCCAGTACTGCTAAGTTGTATCGCCTCATTTCCGTTGCTATTTGACTGGTCTTCTCGGTCTCTCACAATGTTCGAACGTTCCATGTACCTATAAAACGTTTTGCTCTGGTTGTTGGAAGGGGCCTCGGCCATGTGGCTTCCGAAGGAACTCGGCTTTCACCATGAAGCGTCATAATTATTCTAAATGAAGATCTAACTTTCAGGGCAGAGTTTAAATGGTTTGAATTATTTTTTCTGGTAAGCGTTTTTTTAGCGAGTTAGTTTTCTACGGGATGGGGACGCTAACCCCATGCCCAACCCTCCTCCTTTACCCAGGCTTGGGACCGGCAGTTACTCTGGAAGAGCTACAGGCGGAGTTGTAAATATTGCTGATAACAGTATAATTTTCATTGGTAATTTCACTGTAAACATCTAGTTTTATCTCCATCTCTCTAAACAAATACAACACACGAATAAAATCCCCAATAAAAATTACACTCATATTGTGTTACATAACTTTAAAATGAATGAAGAGTTGTCTTGAAATGAAAAACGGATGAATAACATTACACTTATGATGTGTAGGCGAGAATGCGAATGATTGGTTGTCTGCTTAGTTAGATATGTAGATAGTCTGACAAGTGTCAGATACGTTATATATTCCCATATTCTTATAATAATTATTATTAATTACTGACTTATTATTGATTGTTTATTGTTGTTGGATGGTGCCGGGTTTTTAGTGTGAAAATATATTTACATTTTGGTCAGGCTAATCACGTGTTCTTGATCATCTGAGTTGTGTTGACGTCCTATAGAACAGACACTGGGTAGGGTGAGAATCTACTGTAGAAATCCATCTCAGATAAATTAATTTCCCATACGTGATAAACATGGAAACCCAACTGTTATAACATTAGACGAAGTAAAAGCCGAGTGTTATAACGAAGATGTTTTACAGAACAGTATTCAACTGGCATAAAACACATATTATAGAAGTAATGACACAATTTAATGACAAATAAACAAAAATGACGATAAAGATGAGTCGTACTTTTAAAAAAAAACCCATGAGCAACCATAAACAAACAAACAAGCAAACAAATTGAAGTACAAATCATCAAATCGAATACACAGAGGATTCAATTATGATTTTCATGATCAAGTAATAACAAATTAATATTTTCATGATTGATTTGTTGATTGGGAATTGGATTGGATTGTTGATCTAATAATTGATTACATAATTCATGAATTACTTGATATGCATATTCAATATGTTGTTTATTTGGTGAATGATAACATATAGCAAACCGTATAAAATAAAGTGGTGCCGGTGAATGTAATTCTGATGAAACTAAATGAATTCTACCATCAGATTCAATATTATGATATAATTGTTTGGTTAATTCGTTATTATCCTTTTAAACAAAAACAAACAAACAAATAACAATGGATATATTGAGACAAAATGAAACGAATAACATCACATCAGAAAGGGGTTTTTGGTGGATATTAATAGTCATTTCAATAGTTTATTTGATGAGTCAATTGAAGCTAGACAACTATGGAAAATCTGGAAGTACTGGATAGCCGTTTTGTCCTAATGTGGGGCTTCTCAGCAATTTATATCCAAGATCCCGCCTCCCGCGAGATTCGAACCTAGGATCTATCATTCTCGCGTGCAAACGTTTAACCTCTAGAACACTGAGCTGGCCAGCGTCCAATGGTGTTGATGTCTAACCCCAACTGATTTACGAAATCGAGTCACACATTCATCATTGTCATCAGTCAGTTACTATCTCACAACAGACACGGTTGAACTTCACTGGTCACTGCTTCTCACTAGAACTTCAGGGAATACCTCTTTAAGTCTGTCAATAGTGAGCATATACTGATTAATATTAGAAAGGTGTTTTTGTGAATATTATAGTAATTTAATAATTGAGATCATGAGTCAATTGAAGCTAGATCACCATGAAAAACCTTGAAGCACTGGACGGCTGTTTCGTCCAGCTTCTAATGTTAACCAATGTTAAATGAAAATTTCAAAATCTAAGTAATATAAGTACGTTATCACATATCAGATTGGCATATCTGTATGATTAAACATAATATGCATCACTTTCTAATTCTCTATATTCAGTAAAATTTTGTAACTCAACAGACAATTTTCTTATGATGAGGCATTTTGTTCATTATTTATACTTGAAAGTAACTTGAAAGTACCCCTAACTCAGGGTCGGAAAAGTCGGAAAAATGAAAATTTCGCAAATGCGATAAAAATGATCTTGGTGGTCTAGTTATAATATTCTGACACCAGACAATGGGTTTTAAGAGTTATTTAAGCCCAAGAGCTTCAGCCTGGGCTATTTCGTTTACTACCCTACATATGTGTTATATGCAGTATAAGCTAGATGGCTATGGAGAGCTGAAGGTCTCATATGAAACTGGGGGTTCGCAATTGGTATTGTGGATGGTTTGGCACTGCTTTGCTAAGTTTTACTGACTGTTCATGCACAAAACTGGTTTACTGGTCGACCGATTTCATTCATACTGGTGGTTGCTATTCAGTATTCTCAAGGGCCATTGTTATTGGGACATTGTAAGGCATGACGCCATTGCTAACATTAATGAGTTTGACTGTCGTGTAAGCGGAATAGATCAACTTTGGCCTGTTCGTGCTGTGTATAATTAATTAACCTCGATCATTGATCGGAATAACTATACATGTAACGTGAATGTGTATATGAATGGTGCAAATGGTCCACCAGGGTGCTTGCGCCACAGGATTGAGCTGTACTATTTAGATTGTAGCGTTAAAGCCTGAGTGGTGTCTGGCTCTCCTGTTAAACGGGATTGAGCTTTACTGTTTGGGTTGTCATGTGAAAGTCCGGATGGTATCTGGTTCTCCTGAAAATCAATGTAAAATTACCCTGGCTCGCAAGGGTATATTATATGATATATAACTGGTTTCTTGTTTCATATAATTATATACCATGACATGTAAGCAAGATGAGACTGAATTTAAGTTATCTCAATTGTTCCATAAATACTTAGAAATCGTTTTGACCTAAAGTTCCAATACGTATCAGATGTAGTTTAATGCCTTACTAATGATCAGATGAGTATACGGAATATCAATGATTTCAAATGAAGTTTAGGTTTAGAGATTATGGCATTTTTTATATCAATGGTAAGAATTATTCCTTACCACTTCTGAACTTTTACATGTCAAGAGTGTATCAATGAAGTTGTGATTCTCTAACAACCAATTTTGGTCAAAGTCTTCAGTTTAAAGTTGGGTCCTGTGACTATCAACGTCGATGAGTTGAATGATTAATCACTGGGTGGCGATCAATGTCATGCGTGTCTAGTCCTTATTAGTGCAGATCGAATGCTATCGATTATGTTGCAATATGACCACCAGTCTAGGTAACTCGACACTGCGGGCACTATGTATCGAGATTTAGACGGTGGTTGGAGGTAGTCGACAACAAACCCTGGATCCGGGTTTCATGCTACTTGGCAATCGTCAGCAAAGTGTACCTGTAATCTTGAGTGAACTGGTGCTCCCTGGCGGTTCGATCTCGTGTCACCCAGATTCACAATCAGGGACATTACCACTGAGCTATCCGAGCCATGACTGACCTTCTGTAGGACTGAGATGTAATCACAATTGACTGATCACTGGGTGGCGATCAATGTCGTGCTTGTCTAGCCTATTTTTACTTGTTCTATATATATTTTTAAAAGTCACATACATTTCATTATACAACATCATATTAAACTTACCTTGATCCGAAAACAAACTAAACCCATTAGAACATCGGCAACAATTTCAAAACGATCATCAGCTTGTATAAGTTTTTCGAAATAATGAGCTAATTGTATATGCTAAAAAGAAGAAAGTTACTTTCATCATGAATCAATGACAACTTACATTTCGAATGTATTTTTGTAGATTTTTCACACCATATCTTCTTAAAGTGAACCAAATTTTCAATGATCTAAATTTTCTACCCAATGGAATATGCATATGCTGGAGAAAATCAATAAATTTATTTAGTATATAATTAATAATTTTAAAAGAAGACGACCAGTGTACCAGCAGCTTCAGTATCAGTAGAAATCAACATACACAAAGGGAAAAGCAAGGGATTCTCCGATACAACACAGCATGCAACAATTGAATCACAATTGACGGAGAAGATTTGGAAGATGTAAAAACCTTTACATATCTGAGTAGCATCATTGATGTACATGGTGGATCTGATGCAGATGTAAAAGCGCGGATCGGTAAAGCAAGAGCAGCATATTTACAACTGAAGAACATCTGGAACTCAAAACAATTGTCAACCAACACCAAGGTCAGAATTTTCAACACAAATGTCAAGACAGTTCTACTGTATGGGGCAGAAACCTGGAGAACTACGAAAGCCATCATCCAGAAAATACAGGTGTTTATCAACAGTTGTCTACGCAAAATACTTCAGATCCGTTGGCCGGACACTATCATCAACAACTTGCTATGGGAGAGAACAAACCAGATCCCAGCGGAGGAAGAAGTGCTGGAAGTGGATAGGATACACATTGAGGAAAGCACCCAACTGCATCACAAAACAAGCCCTCACATGGAATCCTCAAGGCCAAAGGGAAAGAGGAAGACTAAAGAACACATTACGCCGGGAAATGGAGTGTAAAGATGTTGAAATCTGACTTCATTTTGTTGTAAAGAATAGTATATGGAGAGATTATGAATCTGTTATAACTTGTGCCCTATGTCCTATAATGTGATGATAACGCCAATTAGAGAATACTGAATGATCGATCAGATCAATGACGCATAAAACAAGTATGAGCACTCTAGAGTGTTTATCGGTCCTGCTTCCCCCCTAGTCCTGCCTGTTAACTCCAGAACATCAATCTCAGCCTCTGCAATATGAATCATGTATTCCAAACATACTGGGTTTATGTACCAACCAGACAGACCACATCGTACCATAAAATAGGAAACAACATTTGTACAAGAATTAGCCAAATGTGCTGTGAATATGGGAGATAGTAATTGATAGATTGGGTATAACTCAAGAATAGTAACACGTATAATAATAGTTCATAGGTCAAAATAAAGCTTATAACAAAAGGAATATAAATATGGATAGTTTAGTTACTTAACAATTATACAATAGAAGTATACATATAGTATTAGTCCAGAAATAGATTCCAAAAGTTACCATTCATTATTCTCATCGAAATATAACAGAATACAACCTTATCAAATATTTAGACTGATATACTTCGAGTGTAGTAAATTGTTTTTAAAAGAAAACAATTTGATCTTATTCCATTGATTTGATACATGTGGAAACCCAGTTTGACTCAGTCGAAAGATCAATACGCTTTTCAGTATGTTCAACAATTAGTCTACTGAATATTTTCAAAAGTTATTGTTTATGTATGATGAAACTAGATATAAGATTTCGATGAAAAGTGTCTTCTTGATATTTCTTAAAAGACATGTTACATCAAATTGTCTAAATCTTTATTTCATAGTGAACTATGTGTACTTATTCCTAGGTCAAATCAAGTAGACATCTTGGAAACTACACTTAAGTTTAATATCAACTATCAAATAAACTATACAATATACCCCTATTCGTATTCAACTGCTGTAGTGACTTTGTGAAATGGGTAGATGATCACAGAATTCCCTTTATCGACAAAAAAAACATTAAACAGTCATCGGAACATGCTTATGATGCATACATTTTTAGTAATTAGGAGATGGTAGAAAAGATTTGCAGCTCAAGTGGATGATTTGGATGGAGTTTTGTTCTCTGAGCTGTGGACATCAAAACAGCAAAAAGGAGAACCGTAAGTACCGTCCTAACGATCTGTGTTACATTGACGTAGTGGACCAACTTTATTACGGCTATATAAGTTTTGTAACCTCAATGTTATTTTCCTTATATTGGTTGCTTCATTTGTAATTCTACTTATTTTAGGCTTAGATAGATATCAATCAATTGTGATTACATCTCAGTCCTACAGAAGGTCAGTCATGGCTCGGATAGCTCAGTGGTAATGTCTCTGATTGTGAATCTGGGTGACACGAGATCGAACCGCCAGGGAGCACCAGTTCACTCAAGATTACAGGTACACTTTGCTGACGATTGCCAAGTAGCATGAAACCCGGATTCAGAGTTTGCTGTCGACTACCTCCAACCACCATCTAATTAGATAGATATTCTAGTTCGGGGTAAATATGTTGAATACTTAACTAGTATTCAATCAAATATTGAAAGTATAGTGACAAGATACGATAAACATTGTTATTATACTGATATCTCGTTATAACCCTCCTGTCATAATGCAGTAATAACTAACTCTAACTATGGAACTGGTTGATATGGTTTTGAATTTTGATAAGGAATATCGATTTTCTTAGTATTCTGAGTCCTCATTATTGCGACTCCTCAACGAGAAATTAAAAAATCAGAAAACAGAGTTTTCTACAAATTGATCATGATTTAATACATAAGTGGATGCTTGAATTTTTATTCATATGAGATCAACTTAAGGACACTTCATCATTTTAAATGCTTATTGAAATAGTAAAAGATTCTCAATAGTTGACGAATGGATTGGAATTCATCTCTGAACTCCATTTACATTCCATGTTAATCATCATCATTTGAGGGAGGCGGGTAAATTTAAGAGTATTCTTTATTTAACATTATGATATAAAATGAATACTTACTCTAAAATCGATGGTAGTTTGTTGATGTTTATGCTTTAGATACGGTGGATCAACATGAAATGAATTTTTTACCCAATTCACTTCTCGATACCTAATGAAATAAACATATAAAGTAGATAGTAAAAAAAGGTGAGATCATTCCATATAATAAGTATTAACATGGAAACTAACAATGGTAGGTTTATGCCTAGTACAGATCATAAAAGAGGTGCTGAATGAATGCTTTAGTTATTTAATATCACATTAAACATGAGTGATAAGATTAAACACATCATTTATTCTAGATTCAATCGACTCATGATCTCAGCTACAATCTCTACGAAATCCCATCTGATACATTGTTTATGAATAGCTGAATTACACATATCAGATATTATGGTGGATTATTTTTATGTTCGTTAAGCTTGAATGCTACTACTGATTCGTCTTACTCGGAACGGAACGAAGAATCAAGGATTGAGAGACTCGATAGGCTATACTGGTCCGTTGTCCCCGACTCAGCTGACTCAGTCCACAAGTCTTGGTAAGATGTAGGAAGTGTATTCTACAAGCAACCAGAAGATACCAGGTCAATCAGGCACACAAATCAAGTATATATATATATATATATATATATATCGATAGGTCGTCGATCAACTATGTGCGTGTGTAGTAAGAAATGCCGAAGCATACATCTGCATACAAGCTTCACAAAGATAAAATGACAAAATATGCGTTTTTGGGGATCTAACGTCCCCAACAATTATGAACATGAGGTTGTAATAGAACAATCTATACAGACAATTTTCGCTCTCATAAAACTATTGTGTTAAAGTTTTCTGACATAGATCTAGCATAGTTGATTAGTTTGGTTTCATTTGAGACTTTTAAAGCGATGTTATTACACTATGTTGATTTAAATGAGCGGTGTTTCAATAAACCCGTTGCTCAATACAAGAATAAAATGATATTCAATTCAAGTTCTTGTGTTTTTAGCAAGAAATAACTTAACGAATGTTTCCGATTAGTGACTACTGGACACAATTTTCTTTTCTATATAGAAACCTAAAAACACTAATCACTTATTTCACTCAGACATTTGGATTGATAAAAGAAAGTTTCCATCACATGAATGTCTGAATTATAGATTGTCTTACTGTCCTGGATTCGAATCTCATGAGGTGAGGTTGTGAACGAACACTACAGAGGAGTTACACAATAGGACGAAACAGTCGTCTAGTGCTTCCAGGTTTTCCATGGTGACCTAGCTCCAATTGACTTGTAATCTCAACTATTGAAATTAATATTGATAAACAATCTATATCACGTTCTATTACAGAGGTCAAGTTTCAGATTTGAATTGTGTGTTATGTCGCTTGATAGCGATTAAAATACATATTTATTGATCATGAACAAAATATCAAGTTAGTTACTACGTGTACTTTTTAATATAAACTTACCATACAATTGAACAATCGAAATTAATCAGTAACCATTTATGTGGATTGAATACAAATGACGTAGCATACTAAAAGTAGACAATGAAAATGATTCTTTTTTATTATAATTCAACTAAACTGTATGGAAACATTTTGAAAAGAAAATATGAAGAAGCTTAAATCAATGATAATTTGGCAAAGAATACATTTGTGCTCTTTCCAGCTTCATGAGTTATCAACATTGTAAGCCGACAATCGTTCAACATAGTACATGGACACCTATTCTTACTTACTTACTCCTGTTACTCCCAATGGAGCATAGGCCGCCAACCAGCAATCTTCAACCCAATCTGTCCTCTGCCTTCTTTTCTGATTTCAGTCAGCTACAACGTAGGACCAGGCACATATGTGCATCGGTCCAGGTTGCCATACCGCATCAGCACAACAAGATGAACACCGGATTTATAGCAGTGGTTAGGTCAAAGGTAGTAATATGTAAGAGAAAGATTGCATATAGAGATATAGTACAAGAAGAAAGAATTGGTTCGTAGAAAGAAAGATATGAAGCGATTTTAATCTCTTAGTTTAAGGGAAGACAGGGAGTGTATACACCGACGCCATTGTGATCGATTCTGAGCCATGTCACCAAGAGTCTCCAACCATTGGTTACGATAGTCACGCGGACCCCAAACAAGTAGTCTGCATCTACCAACATGGCTCAGACTAGAAGTTAGTGTCTTCAAGCACTGATGCCACGTTTTGGTTTGGTCGCCCCTAACTTTCTTCCAACCATTTCCAATACCGGATAGCATTGCACGTCGTGGTAATCGGTGTTCAGGCATACGTAACACGTGGCCCAACCATCTCAGTCGATGAAGATTCATAACCTCATCAACTGATTTACCATCATTCCCTAATGCCCTGCGTCTAACCTCACTATTACTTACCCGTTGATCCCAGCAGATGCCAGCGATATTTCTAAGGCATCTGTGGTCAAATACTAATAGCTTACGAGTGTCTTCTACTCTCAATGGCCATGTTTCGCTGCCGTAAAGTAAGACAGAACGGACTGCCGCGCAGTATACTCGTCCTTTTATTGATAGACGGATATCTCGCCTTCGCCAAAGCTGACGTAAGTTGGCAAAAGCCGATCGAGCTTTTCGAATCCGTGCTGAGATTTCGTCCGATACCAACCTATCAGGGCTGATCAGACTTTCAAGATAAGTGAAGTTGTCAACGCGTTCGACTACTTCACTCCCTATCCTTAGTTCAGGTGTTAACGCAGACCAGTCCTGAAGCAACAACTTGCATTTAGAGGGAGAGCAGCGCATTCCAAACATCCTGGCATTGTTACTCAGTGCTACCAGAAGACTCTGCATTTTGTCAGCGTCTTCACCAAACAGGACTATATCATCTGCGTATTCTAAGTCGATAAGTGGACCTCCTGGATGGAGAACTCAGTCGACGAGAAAGTTATTTCCATCAGTAGATCTATGATGAAGTTAAACAAAAATGGAGAAAGTGGACAGCCTTGACGGACACCACTTGAGGTTGCAAAAGTAGATGACAGTTCGCCATAAGCTCTGACTCGACTAGTAGTGTTCGAGTAAAGAGCCTTTACAAGGTTTATGTACTTCTGGGGTACGCCTTTCAATGACAGACACTGCCACAGAATCTCGCGGTCTGCCGAGTCAAATGCTGCTTTTAAGTCAAGAAAGACCACCATTGTCGGACGCTGATAAGTATGCCTGTGTTCTAGAATCTGACGAATGGTGAATATGTGGTCGATGCAGCCACGACCAGGTCTAAAGCCAGCTTGGTTCTCTCGTGTTTGCAGTTCACGAGTCTTAGTTAGGCATCTGATAATTATCGAGGCTAGTATTTTAGATATTATATTAGTTAAACTAATCCCTCTGTGGTTGTCACAGGATGATTTTGACCCTTTCTTATATATTGGGACGATAAGTGATTGTGACCAGTTAGATGGAATAACGTCTAACTCCCAGATTTTAGCTAAAATATTAGTCAACCTAATCGCTAAAATTGGACTACCATCCTTAAAGACCTCTGGAGTAAATCCATCTGGACCAGCTGCCCTTCCTTGTTTCAGATTAGCTATAGCCTTTTGAACTTCAGCAAGAGTTGGGGGACCTACTTCAATGTTCCATTCACACTGTCTGGGAATGGAGGGTATTTGTAGAGTAGCTGAAGGCCAGTTGAACTGTTCTCTGAAATGTTCCGCCCATCGTTCTAAACGCCTGGACTGGGAGCAGATGAGTGTATCGTCTTTTTCCGATATAATCTCACTTACACTTGACTTATTAATTCCAGTTTCTTTTATTAGTCTGTAAAGCTGTCTTGTGTTCCCTATAGTCGCCGCCTTTTCCATCTCTTTTGCTTTCATTGCCCACCACTGCTCACGGTCGTTTCTTAGATTTTTTCTTAACCTAGATCTGATTTTTTGTCGCTCTTCATCATGTTCAGAACCTGATGGGACGAGTTTGCGAGAATCCATCAGTGTGATAGACTTTAAAGAAATCCACTGGTTCTTTGAAACTCTGTGGTTTAAGTCGCTAATAGATGTCACTGCTGCTTCCACAGCTGCTTGTATTTCATTCCAAGCAACATCTGGGTCAGCCTCGTCTTCAGAACTACCTAATCGTGACCTCAGTTGTTCCTGGAACTTACTTTTGGTTTCCTCGCTACTCAGTTCGGTTCTAATGGGTCTTTTTACTGTGGCTTCTTTGCGTCCAGTGAGGCGCAAGCAGATGCGTGCCCGTATTAGGGCGTGGCCGGAGTCCAAGCAGGTACTCCAGAATGAGCGACAATCTTGCACCGACCCTCTCCAACGATGACTGATGGAAATATGGTCTATTTGAGTCCATCGTTGGCTTGGTGCAGGCGGTCGCCACGTTAGACGATGTCTCTCCTTATGCTTAAAATTTGTGGTTGCTAAAAATAAACGATTGTCTGAGCACAGTTGCAGCAGACGGTCACCATTATCTGTTCGCTGTGCCGGAATGCTAAAACATCCACCTAAATGCCTTTCTGTTAGGTTTAAGCTACCTATCTGAGCATTAAAGTCACCCCCTACGAGTACTATGTCTGAGCGTTTAGCTTTCTGAAGAAGTTCAGAAAGCTTTCTGTAAAATTCATCTTTCACTTCATCTGAGCTGCAGTCAGTGGGAGCGTAGGCAGAAACGACCAAAAGGTAACGACGTGTGTCCCTATCCTTCCGAGTTTTACGGAGCCGTTTAGCCGAACAGCACATAGACGACTGTTGACGGGGATCCACTCTAGCAGTGCTTGTTCGGCCCTCATGCTTAGTGCTATGCCTACACCTGCCAGTCCACGAGAACTGGCCATCGGGTCACCAGATACACGTAGGGTGTATCTCGTTGGCTCTCCGTTTTGCCGAGGTGAGGTCAAGTGAATGACCACACTGGAATCCCGTATGCGTGTTTCAGAGACACAGCATACATCAATGGAAAGAGACTCTAGGGTTTTAGCCAAGGAGGCCTGCTGACCGATTCGACATAGAGTGCGTACGTTGAAAGCTCCAATGTGTAGTTTGGAGCGAGGTTTCAGTAGACCTGGGACAGAGTTTTGAGCACTAGAATCGTTGGCTATGGTGACACTTGAGGAGGAAGCCGAAGGGGGAAGTTTAGGGTTGAAAGTCGATGTAGGAGGAATAATAGGAATTGAAGAGGAAGGTTGATTATGAATACAGTGGTCTTGGGTGCTGTTAGAGGTATGAGGGCGGTTATCTCTTCCCGGTTGCTCACACTGTGGAAGGGTTCTTCTGGAGGTACCTGAAAAGGAAATTGGATTAGAGGTGGTCTCAGTGACCTGAGAGCGTGACCGCAGTGCCCAAGAGACAACTGCTTGAGGCCGGTCGCGCACGGCCTTCTCGTGGGAGGTTTTTGACGTGTTAGCTCCGTTCTTCAAGGGGCCTTACCGCCGGAGACAGAAATCCGTGAGGTAAGGTGAGGTGTGCATTTTTAGGGTCGACCTTTTCTAACCCCACCCCTCCTTGTGGGAAGGTAGCATCGCTGTCATGCTGGTTGTCTGAAGGAAACACCTTACTGCTGTCACACCTCTGTACAGTCAGCAGTACGACTTCGCCTTCGGACCTTGGGTTTGTTGCTTTTAGTTTTACCGCTCTTCAACCGACCTGTCTGACATGGTAGGACCTTGAGGAACGGTTGTTCCAACCAGTATAGCTCGGTTGCTTCATCACGATAGGCAAGCCCGACCACCACGTCAAGGTAGCAACAACGGTCGGGCTTTCTGATTTCATCCAATTCTTATTCATTTTTCTCATGTCTATCTCCATTTCCCGGAGTAATGTGTTTTTTGGTCTTCCTCTTCTCCTCCATTGGCCTTGAGGCTTCCATGTGAGGGCTTGTCTTGTGACACAGTTGGGTGCTTTCCTCAATGTGTGTCCTATCCACTTCCAGCGCTTCTTCCTGATTTCTTCCCCCACTGGGATCTGGTTTGTTCTCTCCCACACTAGGTTGCTGCGTCATCTATTCTACCTTATATTAAGTTTGATTAAAATATGCATGATTTGCACATTTGAACTCATAGTATTCCAGAATAGAATTCATTTAAATGGTTAGCATCATAAGACTAATCCTCATCAGTAACCTTTCATAATAACTCTAAATCTAGTTTTAAACACAAAAGTTACAAATGTTAATTTCATTTTAGAACTAGAAGGCCACGTGTATATTTATGTGATCTCTACAATTCTTAAACGTTCATTTGAGTACCCCTATCAGTTAGCAACAAATACTAAGTAACAATGCTATGCCATATAGTTATTACATAACGATCTGTATATGATTTGTGCACATAATACATAACGTTGATCCGTTCTAACATCATCATACAGAGTAAACAAATTCGATATATTCGATAATAAACAACTTCATCGTGCTAGCTATATTAACAGATATTTGAAATGCATTGGCGAATGAGAGGTTACTTTAGTCATAATCTAAGAATCACTAAAAGCCAAGAAGTAACATGTAGCTCTTCCTTCCTACAACCGGACATATTATTAGTGAGCTACAAGGCTTTAATGACGTACTTATAGCTTGCGTTTCGGGCGCGTTATTTTCATACACCTAGGTAGCTTTCATTTCTTGATACAGTTAAGTTGTGAGGTACTATAACATGATCCTATATCGCCGTTGTTAACTACTTCATTTTGACCATAAATTAACCCCATTAATCATGACTTCATATAAAAATGTCGAATATTCATCACGAAACCGATCATTACTGAGAACGCACGTCAAACATAAATTGTTGATGAGTAATATCACAAATTCAATGACCTTCGAGATGGAAAGCGTCGGGTTTCAACTATGTGGTGCAAAAATAACACAGAATATTGCTTACTTATAACCTATTACCCCTTTTGGGACACAGGTCACTGATCAACAATCTCCAACCAACTCTGTCTTCGGCTCTATTTCCTAGTTCATGCCAAATAATATTCATATGTTCCTCCTTTTACGTGAGTTTGGAACCGTTAGTAACGTTAGAAAAACTGTGAGCAGTTTCGAATATAACTCACTCAGTACATAACTTGAAACACATGAATTGAATTCTTTGAAAAACTATGTGTCTGCTATATTACAGGGTCCCATATTAAGATGAAGTAATGACTTATTAGTTCTTGGTTTTGAATGGTTCTCACATAATTATTAATCTGCAATGAACCTTAGCTCATACGTTATTTATTCTTCACAAAGTTTCCGATTGATTGCTTATGTAATGATTCATTTAGTTCAGTTCAATATTCCATCATACTATATACAACTAGATCATTAATAGATACATGCATCATTTAAAGCATACCGTCGCTTTAGTTCTTGGAGGTTGAATCATCATTCATTCATGTCAGTTTAATCAAACTCACTTCCTCCAATATTTTACTTAATTCGAATTAAACAATGTTTTCTTCCACTAATAAGAAATTGAATCTCATTTGATCCTATATGTTAGGACTTGTTATCATTAACACTCTAATATAAAACAACCTTTTTATTTGGCCATTGTAAGTTGTAATGAGTGTGAGATAATATTGAAAACAATTCATTTAATAATTCGAATGTTCAGTTTCTGTTGGCATATGTACATTCTAGAAGAATTATCTTGATATTGTCACTTAGTTACTAGTTTTACATACATTTGAAGTGTGGTAGGGGGACGAATGCATTTTGTCATATTATAGATTTGTCATCTTTGTTCGTGTTCTCATTAAAACTCGTTATGCACTAAGCAACTGATTACAGATAGATATTAACTATTTCAGTGAGTATGCAATTATCTGTAATAGTTTTATTGTCTATATTATAGACTGCAATTCATTAACTTCTATTCGACTGCTAATCATGTTTTGTTTATACGAAAAACTTGAAGCATTGGGTACTTGGCTTGAGTATTTCTAAATATTAACAATCTAATGAAGGCATTCTACATTCGATTGCTAATTATAATCCGAATGTATCGAAAAAATTACAGACAAAAGTAACAGATAGTGATTTTTATCGTTTTCACCGTACTCTAAACTACTACTATTACTATCAGAAGGGGTTTTATGGAGATTTTTTTAGAAATTTCAATAGTTGAAATCATGAGTCAATTGAAGCTAGACAACCATGGAAAACCTGGAAGCACTGGACGGCCATTCCGTCCTAGTATGGGACTTATAGTTTCAACTATTGAAATTTCTAAAAATCTCCACAACCCCCCCTGATAATAATCATCTGCTTACTGATGACTGACTTCAAGAGGCATTTCCCGGAGTTCTAGTGAGAAGCCGTTACCAGTAGAGTTCAACCAGGTCTGTTGTGAGATATCAACTCGCTGAAGACAATGGTGTACGGTGGCGCAGCTTCATTGATTGGTTGAGGTTAGACATCAACACCGTTGGATGACGGCCGACTCAGTGGTCTAATGCTTAAGCGCTCGCGCGCGAGACCGATAGGTCCTAGGTTCGAACCTCACGGGAGGCGGGATCGTGGATGCGCACTGCTGAGGAGTCCCATACTAAGACGAAACGGCCATCCAATGCTTTTAGGTTTTCCATGGTTGTCTCATGATTTCAACTATTGAAATACTACTATTACTGTTATTGTTTAAAGAGCTAATTCAGTTAGTCGATTAATCTATGTTGTTATTGAGTAAATGATCATTGTTCTTAATTATTAGTTTGAAATTGTTTATTATTTTTTCCAAGTTTGATAAATGAAATTAAGCCTTTAATTAATTAATTTGAGTTAGTTTAGTATAAACTATATTTCCAAAACACTCTTCCACTTTTTTAGGGTTTAATATACTCAGAAGCCGACGGTATTTCCAAGATTGACAAATAACTTGTTTCATCTGTTCATGTGTATCTCAATACACAAACTAAAGCTTTAGTGATTTAGTCTCCTGTTTAAAGTAGTTCAACTTATAATGTTCATGGTTTCACCTGTTTGCTTTTTTTTCTTTAAACAAAAAGATCGGAAAATTGAACGTCATATTTTGAGTCAACCAGCAACTCTTCTTATTATACATCTATTTCTTATCTTAACTGTGTAGTGACCTAGTTTTATCAAGTAAACGCTATTGGTGTAATGGAAACAATTATTATTATCATAACCAATTGTACCAGGGATTGTTTTACTGTACTTGTTTGTTTAACTGTACCAAAACACATACATTCTTCCTTCCGTTGATTGTGACCTTGCATGAATTCGGTTACGCTCAGTAACCACAATTGTACTCCCTGGGCACGATCTCGGTATTCTTTCGATACCAAGAGATCGCCAACAAATATATCTCGACTACAGCCATTAACTGCCTTCTGATAAAGGGCGGACTGCTTAAGCTTCTGGGCTACCTGTTTCTGCCATCTAGATATTTCAACAAGTTATCTATTTTTGTTTGCTTTAATATATCATCATGTTTATTAATCGCATGACCTATCCTGATGCATTTCTGAAAAGTGTACAACCTTTCGTTGTCAAAGTTACAAAAAACTCAATAAGAGACAATGTGATTGCTGGCAATATACAGTGAAAAGAATGAACATTATTCAGATGTTCATTTACTGAACTGATAACATCTAACTGGCGATCACTCAATATTTACCGCCAGGACCGACCAAGAAGAAAGAAACGGAAACTTGTTGAAATACTTTACGCTGAGAATTCTATATTGTATTAAAAATATAATATTGAATAAAGCTTATAATGATCATAATAATAATAATAAGCTTACGGTGGATCTTATCGGTTAACTGGCACGTAGTCTTCCTATAACGGTGATCATAGTCAAACACGACTCAACGCTACACTACAACTGTAATAGGTTTTATCTCTATTGCTGGCAATTAAAAGACGTTGCATTCATAAATACGAGGTATGACTTTTACTTATGTGACATTGACAATGTTTAAGTTGAAAGTACTAAGTGATTTAAGCACATTAGGTTTGTTTTAGATATCTCATTATTATTCGTAGTTAATAAGAGCTGTTGACAGGAATTCTAACTAGGAGTGCCATTTAAACTCTTATAATATTGGCTTGGAAGGATCATTTTAAAAATAAATAAGACTGGGAAAATCTAAAGGTTTTAGATGATAAAAACAATTCAATTTGATTCAGTTAGCCATCAAAACCATAATCATTTACTGTGGTCACGATTAGCACATGGTATTGTGTTTGCCATCAAACTGAAATATTCTAATTTGAATTTCATTTCTGATTCCAGTTGTTCATTGCTTAGTAGTTCAAAATAATCAGTCAGTCAGTTCGTCATAAACAACGTTGAACATCGCATGTATGTACATAATACATATGTGTGTAGTACATATTTCAACCACCTTAACCGACAAAGATTCACTACTTCAATAACCAATTTAACACATTTATCAAGTACCATGAACCTAACTTCAGTATTACTCACTCGATAATTCTAACATACGTGATCAGTGTTTCGAATATATTTATAATCTAATTCTAGTCATCTATTAATATCTTCTATCTTTAAAGTTCACGTTACACAGCTAAAATGTAAAACAGAATAAACCGCTAAGAATTAATGTCGTGACTTATCAGATAATACTGTCTTTTGTTGTGAATATCCTCAAACATGCACAAAAACCTGAATTTCACTTTAGTTGGTGATAAGAAATGTCCAAATCTTTACATATTTTATCAAATATAGTCTGTGTAAACTTAATTCATTAAAAAAGCTCAAAGCACCAATTTATTACAGAAACTAAGTAAATAAATCATTATTTAAATTCACTTGATATTGTTTGTTTGAATCTTCCCATTGATGTTTAGAATTGCAATTGATCAGTCTCTTATTGTCATATGTACATAGTGTGGAATCCAGTTAGCGCGTTTCGTCCCCATTGGGACTAGTCAGTTGGATGTACCTGCATCTCAGAGTTGATGTTCACTCTACTACTCGAACCAAGTATCGTTCGCTTCAAGCACCACCGGGTTATTCACTTAGCTAATGAGTCCTGATAACCACTTGCTTGTGCGATGTGGTGAAGTTTAAATTTACTTATTATTGTTTACTTGGTTATTCTCATTGATATTTAGATCTACAATTGATCAATCTATCTTTTATTGTCATATTTGCATACTGTGCATATTGCCTCGAGATTGCCTTAATTCACAAGCATTATATTCAAAGATGGATTCCACTGCTAGCCACTATCTAAAGCTGTAACATAAGTATATTGTACAAATAAAATGATTTTTAACAACTTCAATATTGTCCACAGTTTGTTTTACACACCACCCAAAATGTTCATCAAAACGATAACAAACAAAAGAACACACACTTACTTCGATTCCATCCATTAAATATCTATATTCTGGACAAATAAATGATGACCCAGCATATGCTGCATCTACATGCAACCAGATATTATATTTATCACAAATAGGTCCAATATCTTTTAATTTATCAAATCCACAAGTTGCTGTAGTCCCCAATGTGGCACAACACTTAAACAATCAGAAATAACATATTGTGATTAGTAAAATGATGTTAAAGGCTATCACTGGTACACAGAAGTTAAATCAAATCAATGAATCCTTATATACCATTGGATAATACTAGTCATTAAACGAAATACAAAAAGTATCAGTGCGAACTTTACATAGAAGATGGTAAGATGTTTTATTTGTTTACTATTGAAACTATCCACACCATTTTGCAATGAATCACATTCATCAAGAAGGTTCATTTATTCTAAAACACCATAATAAGTAGTATCAAAATGAAATACACATTAAGTATTCTAACCTGGAAGCACTGGATGGCCGTTTCGTCCTAGTGTAAGAGTGATAGCTCCTGGGTCCGAATCTTGCTGGGAGCGAGATCGTGGATGCTCACTGCTGAGGAGTCCTATACTAGGGCGAAACGGCCATCCAGTGCTTCCAGGTTTTCCATGGTTGCCTAGCTTCAATTTACTCATGATTTCAGTTATTGAAATTTCTAAAAAAAATCTCCACAAAACCCCTTCTAATTCGATATTTGTTGATTGACTTTGTGATATACGGAAATTCTGTTTCAGCATAATATAAGATGATAGATTTTTCATGGAATTCATCTGATCATCAATAGAGATAGTTAGATTGTAATCAAATTTTTATACATAGAAATTAAATCAAATATCTTTAGATATTAGAATAAAAAGTTTTCTAATGCTTCCAGTTAATGAATACATGAAATGCCTAATGAAACCGGCTAGATCACACATTGATTCATGTAAGTAATAGAAAATTATAATAGATGTTATCATCATAGATTAATGACTTATTCATCTAACCAAAGTCATTCACTACCCACATAGTTTTTGTCAATTGAACATCAGTTGTAAACATTGTTACGTAACTTTTTGATAATAAAACTTTTTCACTAGTTGATTTGTTTAAATGACCTCAATGGGAAGTTTGTTTAAATACATAAAGAAAAACAGATTAAACCTTTTAAATATGTAAATTCCAATGATTAAACTCCGTTTCTTTCGTTCTTTCTTTCTTTCTTTCTTTCTTTCTTTCAACCTTTCTCTTCTTTTATCAAATAAATGAGAAGAAATCTTTAGAATATATGAGTCATTTAAGATAAAAGAAGAGAAAAGAAAGAAGAGAGAAAAAAGAACGAATAAAACTGAAGGAATATGTTGAAGATTATTTCATTAATCAAACTTTTCATTGATGAATAGATTGTCAGTAATAAATGATCATGTTGATAAACTGTTCCTCAACTATCCCCTAGATCAGTTAAGTTTCTATGTCAACAATAGGGTGTATGTGTATGTAATTAACTTGAAATCAAGAAGATTTTTGTATTATTTTAATAAAAGCTATGAATGATGAGTCTGATTAAACTAGCTTTCATGTAAGTTTTTGATTGTTTTTTTAAACATATTATGTATGTAATATTAATAGAAATCATTTCAACAGGGTCAAATGCCTTCTTCATAATACCATAGTCATATATATTATTACCAATGGTTAAGTGGTTAAGTGCTCGCGCGCGAAACCAGTAGGTCCTGGGTTCGAATCACGCGAGGCGGGATCATGGATGCACACAGTTGAGGAGTTCCACAATAGGGCGAAACGGCCATCCAGTGCTTCAAGGTTTTCTATGGTGATCTAGCTTCAAATGACTCATGATCTCAACCATTGATATTACTAAACCATTTGGTACATGATCGCAGTTGAAATTTTTGCCATTTAGCTTAAGGATCAACTCAACTGTTATGATTGAATAGTAAAGTAAATTACGTTTTCAATTCATTGTGGGTTTTCTTTTATTCACAATTACATCCATTTTCAATTCATTATAGTCATTACTCTAAGGAATGATGATAGTGTTTGTTTTTTCTTTAGAGGAACATTGATTTATTTCAGTATGATGTTTATTCAAGATGGTATTTCTTACATTAGTTCAGTAATAATGTTCGTAGCCTTGGATTTTGTAATCATGCTGTGTATTTCCTCAATGTATGATTATTGTTAAGTAATTAAGTATGAGTAAGATCAATCTTCGAGGTCGAATAAATCTATATCACAAGCTTTCGTGTTTAGGTCAGCCGTCTTTGGATATCAAACAGAAACCAGTTCAATATTCTACAAACATAACAAGTACCATGAAATGGCCTAGAGAAATCAGCATCAAGATACAAGACCATGGTTTATTTGAAAGTGGAAAAGAATCTAATTTAGTTTTTTTTTGTTTTTTGGTTGGGTTTCTGTAGCCCCAGGATATATCCAGTAAATGTGAAAACTCTTTAACTTTTGTGTTAATTTAAATTCAGTATATGTAACTGTACTTCATCAATTTCATAATTCCTATTCCAGTGTGTTATAAGTGAAGTTGTCATAGACAAATGATTGTATGGTACAACTTCTCGGCTAATAACTATAACATAATCATTTACAATGAATAAAGATCAACACTGTTGATAACAATGTTACACAAGAAAACAGGAGAAAGTGAAGTGAAATGAAATGAGATTGAATCAACTCAATTTGATAAAGTGTCACTTCATATTTATAGTTAGACCAAAAAATGAATTGCAGTCACGTAATGAATAGGGTAAGCAATTAACACATATACGATCCTATAAAAACAGTCAGTGATAAAATCAAAATGTGGCTTAAAAAGAATGAATACATTGATCTGTCTGGAAACCAGAATACCCTATGTGTGCCAGGATGGAAAGTTAAAGATTATGTTTGTTTTAAAAACAATCTAACAATCAATAATGGTAATTGTACAATTTTCTGAGGGTTAAATGATGGCATATAATAGACAATACAGAAATAAATTTGAATTATGAGATGGTGGAGAAGATTTGTAGTTCAGGTGGATAATTTTGATGGAGTTTTGTTCTCTGAGTAGGATGGCTTGGTCGTCGAGCTTTCATCGTTCTTCTGAACAACATCATCAACACAAACTTCAGATAGAAGTGAAATGTTGGAATTTCTCCATATGTGTTTCACAGCTTGTTCTGCACACCTTGACGTTGATTGGTTCTTAATGACCTTTTATATGCTTTTATCTTCGAGTAGTTCCTCGGCTTTTTTGACGTATTCTTCTTTGTCCATAATTACTGTGGTGCGTCCTTTGTCCGTTGGAACTATGACAATATCCTTTCTAGTTCTGAGTTCCTTCTAAGCTTTTAGTTCTTGTGGGGTCAGTTGGTTGTTTTCCTTCACCTGCTGAGTTAGCAGTACTATCGTTCGCCTTATTTCCTGTTGAAAAATTTAATGTCAATAAGAACCGATCAAAGTCAAGGTGTGCAGAACAAGCTGTGAAACACATATGGAGAAATTCCAACATTTCACTTCTATCTGAAGTTTGTGTTGATGATGTCGTTCAGAAGAACGATGAAAGCTCCACGTCCAAACCATCCAGCTAAGAGAACAAAACTCCATCAAAATTTGAATTATCCTTTATTATGTAAGAAAGTAATGAAACTATAATCAACATTAGGAATTTGAACACAAAAACATATTTGTAAGAAGAGAACTTACAAAAAATGGTATTAATCCATTGTTTACATCATCTTCAATCGTTTGCTTTAATATAGTTGTATCCATTTCATAATGTTCATTGGATTTTATTGCACGTAATTGAAGCATTCCTATTAAACCAGCTCGTTCAACTGAACTATGTGCCTAAAATTCATAGATAAACTTTTAGAAAACAAGTTTTTCCAAACATTCAAAATCTGATTAATTGACTGACAAGAATTAGAATTAAAAGGAGACAGAACACAATATTGAAGACGTATGGACAAATATCTTACCATGTGCTCACTAGTGACTAACTTCGTGAGAAAAGTTTCGGAGTTCTGGTGAGAAGCCGTGACCAGTGGAGCTAATTCGTGTCAGGTAGCAACAGGTGTCTACCTCAGTACAATGGAAGATGGTCGCGTAATTTCGTGGGTTGGTTGAGTTTAGACATTAACACCATTCGATGCCGGCTCAGTGGTCCAGTAGGTTAATCGTTCGCTCCTGAGACTGAAGGCCCTGGGTTCGAATTCCGCGGGCGGGATCGTGGATGCGCACTGCAGAGGAGTCCTACAATAGGACGAAACGGCCGTCCAGTGCTTCCAGGTTTCCAAAGGTGGTCTAACATCTATCGGTTCATGATCTCAATCAAACACTTAACAATCTCTACAACACTTAAACTGATATTTTAATATACTTTGAAATGAGTTCTTCTTTGAATTAGATTAGTAACAGATATAGTCAGTCATAAAATGTTTATAGAGTTTCATTTATAAATATTACGTAACGATATAGGATTACAGGAATTCGGTATTACATTGAAATCATGAAATTTAAGTATAGTTTGCTCATCAATAATAAGAGAAGCTATTCTTACTTAACAAATCAACATGCTTATCAAAGACTATTGATAATCTAAAAACAAACAATCAGTCAATGATTATTATGATGATCGAAATATCACTCGTTCAATATTGAAGAAAATTAATAAAGAAAACCATAGACATTATGAAATGTTCAATTTACCTGATCAGAATAATAACCAACAAGCTTTGATAAAGCATCATAATTATTTACATTTGGATGGATATTTTGATATTGTGTAATAGCTTTGTTACGTGCAGCCAATAGAGCGACTAATGTTGATTCACTGCAACTACCCTACATATAGGTTTATGATAAAAAACAAAAACACTTATTATTTATAATCACTTAAAATAAAAGAAGATTTCATTTGATTCATATACAGTAACTGCTTTTATTCAATCATTTATAAATATATATAATCTAGTTGAAAGATTACATCATCATCATCATCATCATCATCATCATCATCATCATCATCATCATCATCATCATCATCATCAATCACACTATAACCAGAATATAATCTATTTTCATTCATTTTACAATTATACTCATTGTTGTTTGACAGGATATTTCAGTTGTAAACGGATGAAAAGCTTTCGATTCAAATGAAATTCTTCCATTCCCCTAACTGTTTCAAAGATCACTATCATCTTTGGATTAAACAGATATTTATTAATTATCAGAAAGAGGTTTATGTGGATATATTATAGTCATTTGATAATTGAGGTCATGAATGAATTGAAGCCAGATCACAATGGAAAACCTGAAAGACTCACGATCGCAATGATTGAAATTACTATAATATCCACAAAAACCCCTTTCTAACATTAATCAGTATATGCTCACTAGTGACTGGCTTGAAAGAAGTATTTCTTTTAGTTTTAGTGAAAAGTAGTGAGCAGCGGAGTACAACCGTGTCTGTTGTGAGATAGGAACTCACTGAAGACAATAGTGAACGTGTGGCTCAATTTCGTGGATTGGTTGAAGCTAGACATCAACATCGTTAGTTGTCAGCTGAGTGGTCTAGAGGTTAAGCGTTCACGCGCGAGACTGATAGGCTCTAGGTTCGAGTCCCGCGGGAGGGATCATAGATGTGCACTGCTGAAGAGTCCCACAATAGGACGAAACGGCCATCCATTGCTTTCAGATTTTCCATGGTTGTCTAGCTTCAATTGACGCATCATCTCAACTACTGAAATGACTATAATATTCACAAAAAACCCCTTCTGATGTGATGTTGTAACTAAGTCGATTTGCTAAAATGGTGTATAAGCTTACTTGACATGGAGGAATAAGAACGGAGATCATATAATTAATATAGAGATTTTACTTATTTCTTACTTGTATCACTCCACCGGTATTTTCACCAAATAAAAAGTGTTCAGGTAGACCTAAGGTTTTTGCCATCCAATCAATCATTACAACTTCTAGTTCTGTGCAAGCTGGATTTGAAACCTTCAATATTAAAAAAAGAAGTTTATTTAGTAATTTAAAGTGGAATTTCAAGAATATCAGTTGATGATGAGTCTACATCATCACGTAGGTTCATGAAAACTATTGACAAAAGATCTTCCTCATTGTTCATCAAGTTTAAGACATCATCCTTATTAATAATATTTATAAAGTAAATAGTTTACGCAAGATACTTCGGATCAGTCGACCGGATACGATCAAAAACAACCTACTGTGGGAGAGAGCAAACTAGATTCCAGTGGAGAAAGAAAACAAGAAGAAGCACTTGAAGTGGATAAGTCATACACTGAAGAAAGCGCTAAACTGCGTCACAAGGCAAGCTCTCACATGGAATCCTCAAGGCAAAAGGAGAAGAGGAAGATCAAAGAACACGTTACACTGGGGAATGGACACAAATATGAGAAAAATGAACAAAAGTTGGATAGAACTAGAAAAGAAGGCTGTTGGGGACGATATATCCCCAAAACTCATATTTGTAATTTTATCATGTCTATTAACTTATCGATTAAATGATTAAATAGTAGTCAACTGATAAACTCATTGATCAATGTTTAAAAATTTCCCATGACAATATCGATTATATATATATTTGTATATATACGTTTTAAATTGTGTTTGTGAGCTCGCTCGTTTTCTGGCTGTTTGCAGAATATATTTTCCATACCAAGCTTGGACTTCTTCTTCTAGGTAGCGGGGCTGGAACGCATCAATAGCTAGATTACTGGTCTTTGGTCACTGAGTCTTGTTCTCATTCGCAGATTAAGTGAACTCGTAAAGCTTCAAACCTAACAAAGGCCCAGGACAGAACAGAGTGGGTTCGAGAATGCTGGTTAGCGGCCTATGCTCCATTGGGAGTAACAGGCGTAAGTAAGTAAAATAAATAGGTTGCTATTTTTATAAAACAGTCGATTCGTCGTATATAATCGAATCGATTGTGACCTGGAATTACGCTACGGTATTCTTTTATGGATATGACCACCGTCAGACTATTTATTGAAACAAAAATCATTTTAGTATTTGATCAAATTGTACTTGGATCATCACAGTTATTCATGTTCCTTTTAGAATGAAACGAAGTCAATTGTTAGGCGAATGGGTTGACTTAGAATGTGGGAGTCTCAGAAGTTTTAAAACAGAATATGAGATGCGACGGACAGAATCTCGAACTAGTTATTGAATAGTATACACAGTCAAGTGTATTTTATTCACTCTGATTAGATCTTTAACGAAGGTTGATTGAAGATGATTTAGTCAATTATTTAGTATTCTCCTAATTTCTTTATCAGAATCCACCTTCAATAGTATGAGGTGATGCATCGAAAAAAAAGAGAAAATGTATAACCCGATACTCACGATAGCATTGATTACTGGAATTGAAATAGCAATTCGATTAGTTGAAATGTTTGCTTATAAAATACAACTAACTGCAAATTACGTGCTAATTCATCAGTCAGATATTCATGTTGATATATGTGCCTATGAAATTTCTCACAATATTTTACGCTCAGGTCTCCACTGTAACCTGAAATAACAAAACCTACTAGATTTAAACAAAAGGATTCTCATCAATGTAGTGTAGTGGAGATTGTTAAGTTTTATTGAGATCATGAACCGATTAATATTAGCCCATCATCGAAAACCTAAAAGCACTAGACGGCCGGCTCAGTGGCCTAAAGGTTAATCGTTCGTGCATGACACCGAAGGTCCTGGGTTATGGTCCTGCGTGGGGATGGTGGATGTCAGTATGCAAAAAAGACAACTATTAATATTCATATAACTTTTACCAAAGTGTAAGATTATATGTGTACATTAATATATTTTGTTAGTTAGACATTTTATCCAAAAAGTCCAATAGTGTTGAATCTTATGGAAAATATAAATCTCAATTAGGGAAAAATAACTTTTTTTTCTGAACATACCCAAGTAAATCCGATGGATGAGATACCATCAGCGAGTATATCAGCACATATTGAAGTGTATGAACAACCACAAGGAAAATAAGCATGAAAATGCGGATGTTGCCAATGAGTAACCTGAAATGTAAGAGTTAAAAACCATCTCTTAAATACGTGGATGATAATATAAGAAATTTGTTAATGTGTATAAAATGATTAGTAACGAGAGTCAAGTTTGATAAATGTATAGTACTGGTAGGATTCCATCGATGATTATGTAGTATGATCATTAGCTGAAGTCAGTACCACGTTTAACAGGTTTTGAAATGAGTTGGTTGTAGGCAAACGACAAGAAACTTTGCTCATTCTAAGTTTCTTGCTAGACGTGGATAAGAATAGCTCAATAGTAGCACATCTGAATGTGACAGTGGATGGCGCCGACTAAAATCAGGAGTGGGGAGCTGATTAATTTAAGACTAAACGTATGTCCTCTAGAAGAATCAATAGTAAATTATCGATTTCCTTAAACAGGAAAATCCACTTGATATTATTTATTTGAATCTTCCCATTGATGATTAGGTCTGCGATTGATCAGTCTGTTATTGACATATATGCATACTGTGCGTATTGCCTCGATATTGCCTTAATTCACAAGAGTTATAAACAAAGATGGATAGTGACTAGCAGTAGAATCCAGTTTGACGCACGTTTCGTCCTATTCGCGATTCGTCAGCTGAGTGTACCTGCATCTCAGAGTTGATGTTCACTCTACGACTCGAACCTAGTATCGTTCGTTTCAAACACCACCGGGTTATCCACTTTCCTAATGAGTCCTGATAACCACTTGCTTGTGCGATGTGGTGAAGTTTAAATTTACTTAGTATTGTTTACTTGAATGTTCCCATTGATATTTAGGATTGTAACTGATCAGTCTATCTTTTATTTTCGTATTTGCATACTGTGCATATTGCCTCGAGATTGCCTTAGGAAAATCCAACCTAAAATTATTGATGTACTTCACAAATAATGACTAACTAAAAGGTAAAAACACAATAAGCAGTTTTCTAATCATTTTACATTAAGCTCTACATGTCATTAAAAATTAGTTAGTTTATGATCAGTGGTTTTCATTATTACACTGGAGAGTCATGGACCAAATTGGCAAGTGAAACGTTGGAATCATTTTTCATTTCAATTGATGAAATAGAATGCAGGAAGTTTGAAAATAGATCCTTGTTATCAGTGAATTAAGCAAAAGTATAATACAAAGTTGATCTTGATAGGATCAATATCTTTTGAGATCTTATTAAAGAAAGATTGATAACAAAAATGTTTCGATATATGGATCAATCGAACAGTGCTAAATAGAGCACACGAACTCATAATCTATGAATAGAAACCATTCATGTCATTCATTCCATATAAGAGGTTTAACATTTGAAAGTGATTGGATAACTATTAAATCCGAAAGTTGTTTTCTGATCATGTTTATCATCAAAACTTTGGATTTTGGGGATTTCCAAAAAAACCATATTGAGATGGTGGAGAAGATTTGTAGCTCAGGTGGATGATTTTGGTGGAGTTTTGTTCTCTGAGCTGGATGATTTGGTCGTGGAGCTTTCATCGTTCTTCTGAATGACATCATCATCAGCACAAACTTCAGATAGAAGTGAAGTGTTTGAATTACTCCATGTGTTTGTTGATTGCTGATTGACCTAAGTAAAGCACACTGAAATCCATCCAATTTACCAACCAATCAGGGAAATCATGCACAAATATAGGAACGAAAATCAAACCAATGGGAGACACAACTAAAACAAAGAAGTAAACGATGACAGATTTAAGGTCAATAAGAGCCAATCAACGTCGAGGTGTACAGAACAATCTGTGAAACGCATATGGAGAAATCCCAACACTTCACTTCTATCTGAAGTTTGTGCTGATGATTATGTCATTCAGAAGAACGATGAAAGCTCCACAACCAAATCATCCAGCTCAGAGAATAAAACTCCACCAAAAAGAACCATGTATCCGATTGCAGAGAATAGTTTGCAATTACTTTATATAGGTCGTTGACATTTACACATTTCATGTTTTTTAAAGTATTGATGACAATGAACTAAAATATGAACTTAATTCTTTCACACTGTTGAAGAGTCTTTTAAAAGAGGACAAAACAGATGTCTAGTACTTTATGATTGTTGATATTTCGTTAGCAGATATAAGGGATCGTTTTCAAATAGGATTACTGAAACTTTCGATAGAACAATGAGAAGATGGGGTTAATCTGATGAAAATGTGATGTATTTGCGGCCATACATTTCGAACAATGTGGTCACACACATATACTTGTCAAGGCATTTTTCTTTATATGAAAATTAACAAAGGTCAGTTAAATGAAAGTTCAAGTAAAAAAGTAACAAACGGAGGGGGAGAAAGAATAAGAAATTATCGCGTTAACCTAGGCAATAGAATGACTTAAGGATTACCAAGGTAAATTCAAGGCTATGACAAATTGTTCTTGTACACATAAGGGGGGTTTAAATTTACAAATAGACAAGGCTTCAATAAAATTAAGAATTCGTCCTTGACAATTTCTATAAAACAATCTAAATGCTGTATTAATGTCAATTTTGTGCCCCGTCTCAATTATATGTTTCGCTATCGATGAACTTGGTTTTCTAACCCGTACATTGATCGGATCATTTGACAAACATTCATTTTGAAGCCATTTAGGCACATGTTCAATGACGCTTGATTGCACTGTTCGATAACTCCTCCCTATGTATGTGTGTCCACACAATGGGATGTGACGTAATCATTAGTGCATTGTTTGGGTCTAAAAGAATCATGGGCTTAGACGTTTTAATCACAACCAATTGAACAGCATAATAGGTATTCTCGATGGCTGCTTTCAATCTTTCTCTGAAACATTCAAATGTAAAATGATAGAAAAGATTTGATGCTAAGATAGGTGCTTTATTAATGTTGTGCTCTACATACAAGATGATTAAATTGTAAAGGTTAATTCCTTTCATCTCAGAGAAGTAAACACAACTAAAAGCATTTTATGTGTTTCAATTACTTACCCCCGGCATTATAAGCTTTTCTACATCCTTCATAATGTCTTCCCAACTTTCTGATTCATTCGGTGCTTCATTTGGTATTAATTTAGCTAAATAACCTGGATGTATTTTTGGAAATACTTTTCTTTTATCAATAGTTTCTAAATAATCCGCTACATATTGAATCATTTTTGTTCCATATTGACGAAATTCATTATGATTCAAAAATATATCTGAATAAAGAAATATAATGAATTACCTTTTTAGCATTTATTATCATTATTACTAAAATTTCTATTATTTTCAATAGTGTTTAACAATAGGTTTCATCATGATGTACATTTCAGTTTGTCTTAGACTCATCCGCTTGATGAACCTTCATTAAGTTTCGAACACAGTACTGTCAGTTTCAAGTGTAAATGTATTATCAATCTAGTCATTCTAACCGCCGAATTCGTTAACAAGTATGGGATAATTACATTTAGCTGATAAACCCAAAGAAAGTTGAAACTTGCTATCCTAAATATAATAGACGTTTATATTAACTAGAATACCGAGAAATATATTTAAGAAGTTCATATACTACTAACAACTAATGATCAGATTCATTTGTGAATATGAACAATGGCAAAATACAAACCCATAAGAATAATCGCAGATTATGGATCCTGGGTTCAAATCCCGCGAGGCGGGGTCCTGGATGCGCACTGCTGACGAGTTCCACAATAGGACGAAACGGCCGTCCAGTGCTTCCAGGTTTTCCATAGTGGTCTAGCTTCAATTGACTCATGATCTCAACTGTTGAGATTATAAATTGTTTGTCAGACTATACCCATTTCCTTATGGTGTCAAGTTAATTTTATTAATCAAAAAATACAATTAGATTTTGATAAATTACATATTTGAAGCATAAGTATGCGTACTCCATTTCAAACCGCATATTTACTTTTCTATACCGAAAAATTACAAGAAAGCGATGCCAATGAGACCATCATTTATAGACTTAAAGATAGTAAGTCTTGAATTTTAAGGTAAAATTCATCCATTCATATGGTTAAATAGAATCCAGACATTCTAACTGATGTCAGTTTGTGATGATAAACCTAGCTGTAATTCCCAGTCCTATGCCCATTTGCTCACACTAATTGATAACTTTCTTTTGGCCATAGTAAGTGGGTGGATTTCCTCAAAGTCCTCCTATGGTCATACCGCACTGATATAAAATTTCTACCTCGGAACAAATTTATTGTGAAATATGGAAAGTTTTACCGATAAACTAACGACTATAATTGTTCTATCATACTTAGATTGAATTAGTTCCTCATATTATTCATCAGCTTAGAAAAAATACAATAAATGCAGGAGAAGACGACCAGTGTAGCAGCAGCTTCAGCAGCAGTAGGCCTCAACATACACAAAGGGAAAAGCAAAATTGTCCGATACAACACAGCGTGCAGCAATCCAGTCACAATTGACGGAGAAGATTTGGAAGATGTAAAAACCTTTACATATTTGGGCATCATCATTGATGTACATGGTGCATCTGATGCAGATGTGTAGTCGCGGATTGGTAAAGCAAGAGCAGCATATTTACAACTGAAGAACATCTGGAACTCAAAACAACTTTCAACCAACACCAAGGTCGGGATTTTCAGTACAAATGTCAAGACAGTTCTACTGTATGGGGCAGAAACCTGGAGAACTACGAAAGCCATCATCCAGAAAATACAGGTGTTTATTAACAGTTATCTACGCAAAATACTTCAGATCCGTTGATCGGATACGATCAAAAACAACCAACTGTGGGAGAGAACAAACCAGATCCCAGTGGAGGAAGAAATCAGGAAGAAGCACTTGCAGTGGATAGGACATACACTGAAGAAAGCACTAAACTGTATCACAAGGCAAGACCTCACATGGAATCCTCAAGGCAAAAGGAAAAGAGGATGATCAAACAACTCATTACACTAAGATATGAAGATAGACATGGGAAGAATGACCAACATTTGGATAGAACTAGAGAGGAAGTCCCAGGACAGAGTGGGTTGGAGAATGCCGGTTGGCAGCCTATGCTCCATTAGGAGTAACAGGCGTATGTAAGTACGTTAGAAAAAAATGAAAAAGTACTCTTCTCTGTTACGCCCGTTTCCCCTCGTAGAGCATAGACCTCTGATCAAGAATCTGCAAACCATTTTTTTTAAAATTTAAACAGTATGAATTAACAATAAAATCAACATAAGTTAGATCATCGACTGACTGATAATCAGTTTTCAGTAACATGTTAGTTTATGAAGTATGTGAAGCACATAGTTTGGATTTCGAGTAACATTCAACATTAAATTATGTTGTATTTAAACAGGTTCAGTGATCTAAACTACATCTAATGGCCATTGCATGAAAAAATGTAAAGTATTCATCTAAAAAAAATCAGTTAGTTTGTAGTATCACATGTTCTTTACATAGTTCATGGGCCTTCATAGACTATACACCGATCTCTTGAAGCAGTGCTACTAAGATGTGAAATAAGAGTTTGACAGTCAAATATGTAATTTCAGCATGATTGGCTCTATTCGTGTTTACGTTGTAAGCGATTGTTAACCCTTACTTGGGTGTACATATACACACATAAATATTTGCATTTTTATCTGACAATTTTATCATATTAGATCAAGTTACCACATTTCGATTCAGGATATTTTTTCATACATTTGTAATGACCGTTTACATATACCTACGTTTCGTCTAATCATTTAGACAATCTATGTGTTCCTTGTATGATCACTCGCTTCGGTTGAGGATACGTCAGCTTGAAACAAATACTATCTAACACTTGATGGAGTTTTGTTCTCTGAGCTGGATGGTTTGGTCGTGGAGCTTTCATCGTCCTTCTAAACGACATCATTAGCACAAACTACAAATCTTCTCTACCATCTCACTATCTAACACTACTTGGTGCCATAGCTTATTTACTATAACACTAGAAGTAAACACAACAACTAATGTTTAAGTCATCTGAATAATTTGGTAATAAGGCTGAGGCATGCCAACATTAGGTTATTGGTAAAACATGTCACTTATTCGGGATCATTATTATTATATGTACAGCATAAATGGTTAGTGAATGATAAAATGACCATTTTAACCAATGTCAGTCAAGCTCTCTTAACCATGAATCCATTAGTCATTCTAGTTGAAATTAGATTTAGTTTACTCGAAAGATTTTAGTTACCCTATACAAAGACCTATGACTTATGAATTTTAATTGAGATAAAACATCATAATTAAAAGTAAGTCATTCTGACGTTCCATTTAGTGAACTTCTACATAAGGAAATTATCAACTCTGGGATATAGATACATCCAACTGATGAGTTTCAAATAGAACGAGAAGAGAATCCTGGATTCTTCTGCCAACCACATTCTATCTGTTCTATATCAGCTTGTATCATAATGGTTAAATTGAAAGAGTTCGCATGAATAAATTTATTATCCCTCAAGATAACTTTCCTTTTCTTCTTTGCTTCTAATATTCTAAATACAGAGTTTGAAAGCACTTCTTAATAATATCATCCTACTCTATTACTTCTGTCTAGGACTGATCATTTGATAGGACATTCGAAGAAAGTTCAAGAACCGAGATCAAAATCATTTACGTCGGGAGTTTCGTTTCTCACACTAATAAGTGAATTACTGGAATTCTCTACCGGAACACATAATATCAGCATCTTCTGTTGATATATTCGAAACGTGATTGACTCTTCACAGAATTAGACCTCCTATCCTTATTACTGGAGACTAAAGACTAAAGTTACGTCCAGTTTGTGATATTATTCTACTGTTTATTTCGTTATTACAGTCAATTTACAGGTTAGTCATGATAATTTACCAACAAAACTAAGATTGAAACATACTTTAATTAAACAAAAGTTTCGTAACCTACTACTTACCCATTATCACTATATAACTCAGTGAATAATAAGTTTCCAGTAAAGATTATTACAAATAAATTAGTTGAGTATTTATACTTTTATTGTCTTGTCGTGTGTTTTCAATATATCAACAAAAAAATTAAAAAAACTTTCGGTAAAACTTAAAAATACTACTACTAGCAGTAGTAGTAGTAGTAGTAATCATAGTGGTGAGATAACAATAATAATACTCATAATGTGTATTACTTAAATAATCCGACATTACATAATCATATTTCTATGTTAACAAGTACTCAACTAATCATTTATAACATGAATTACTAAGTAACTAATTATACAATGATAATCATTCTCAATTCACCCCCCTCCTTCAACTCCATACCATACTACTTCTGTTTCCTTTAATTCTTTATTGGAAATTGTCAATAAAGAAAATAATTACCTACATGGTGATTTTTATCTGGATACATTACAATTTACCTCCTATGAAATTGTAAATATCTTATTATCTAAATCATAATGAGGTAGACATCTTTTTCTACCCGACATGGATTAGCTCCACTGGTCATGGCTTCTCACCAGAACTCCGAGAATTTTCACACGAAGCTAGTCACTAGTGAGCACATGGTAATTATCAGATTAGTGTTGTGAAGATTGTTAAGTGTTTGACTGAAATCATGAGTTAATTGAAGCTAGACCACCATGGAAAACCTGGAAGCACTGGACGGCCGTTTCGTCCTAGTATGGGATCGTTGATTCGCACTGCCAAGGAGCCCCATACTAGGACGAGTTTTCCATGATGGTATAGCTTCAACTGACTCATGACCTGAACCATTGAAGTGTTTTTTGTTGCCCAGTTTATTATGTTTTTGTGATACCTGTTCATTTGGACGGCCTGAGTAAGTTATTCAGCACTTAACTTCATCACTATTTTTATACAATGATCGTGATTCTAGCTTATTAAGAATTATTTCACCGTTGATACTTTTTCATATGACAGACTACTCATAGTTCCTATTCATATGTTAATTATGGTGGGTAACCATACTTAACTAGTCTATAGTATCTTTGTTGAACCTTCATTCACCAGGTATAACCTTTTCTCGGATATTGTTTTCATATGAACACGAGTTATTGACCTCTTTTAAATAAATTTTAGTGTGTCCTGGAGTGGTTGGATTGTTCACAGGAAACTGAGATAGCAAAATTAAATATGGAGAGATGATATACAATATAACTCCGCCTGGAGTCCCTCCGGAAGCTACTGTCGGTCCCAAGCCTGGATAAAGGAGGAGGGTTGGACATGGGGTCAGCGACACCATCCCTTAGAAAACTAACTCGCTAAAAATGAAATATTTTTGAAGCACAATGAGCAAATATGATGATGTAATTACATAAGTTGTAATCCTAGGTTATGTAGTGTAGCTAATATCTATTAAAGATTGTATGCAAATAAAACGTCTCGGTAACATTAAGATTGATTAAAATTCTCTTTCTGATTAGTGGAACCCAGGTTTAGAAGTTAGTCAGTTGCCCGTTCCATGTTTTTTTCTGTAAATGGATCATTTTAAGGATCTATCACTCCTTCAACTCAGACCTGAAACATTCTGTTAAGATCAGACTCGGCGGAGACCTCATTGCCAATCCATCTCTTTTTTTAATATATTTGATTGTTGGAACTAAACTCGATATTAAGGGTTCAATATAACAATAATTCTTTCAAGTACTTAGTCGACAGCCCTACACTTAAGTTGTCAGAATCAATATTATCACATATGTAACATTAGGTCTCAGCTAATGGTACATTGGTGAACAGAAAACTAACTCAAGGCCTATATGAAAAATAATCCACTAAAAACTTATTATTTTGTTGTTAACGGTATTGTTCCACTTTTTATTAAATTTCATTACAAACAGTATTTAACATAAGATAATCAGTCCTATCAGATATTTTAATGATAAAACAGCAAATAATATTGATTAAAGATGGATAGTGGCTAGCAGTAGAATCCAGGATGTGTATTTCATCCTATTTGGGACTTGTCAACTGGATGTACCTGCATCTTAGAGTTGATATTCACTCTGGGACTGCTAGCCACTATCCATCTTCACTCATGAAATCTTTTAAATTAAAGCAATATTGAGGCATACGCACAGTATGCACATATACCAATAACAGACTGATCAATGGGAAGATACAAGCAAAATAATATCAAGTGAACCAAATAATACTGTTCACAGAAAAAAACAACAAAATAAACCTTCGATGATCAACTTACTATCACAATCAGCAATTTCAGTAGTACCATTAGATTTTAACATTTTACTCAAACATTTCCCATTCAATAGATCCATATTTTAAAATTATGTTATCAAACAAATTATATCCATGTACAAATAGTTTTCAACAATAATATGAGCTTTTATAGGGTTGTTTGTGCAAGAGGAAGAAAGATTGAAAAGGAGAGAGAGTGAGAGAGTGAGAGAGATTACTGGTCTACAACATTGTCATAATTCGAAATAGATAGATACACATTGATGGATGTTTCTATTTTCTTTCTTTCTTTCTTTCTTTCTTTATCGTTACCATCTTCTGTTTAATCTTTTACAGTTATATTAACAAACTTATGAATATGCATGATTATTTATATCCACACATGACAATGTGTTCTAAATCATCATTGATTAGTTATTTGTATACTAGTCTCAACAATTCACTTGTTTCATATTTATGAAAATGAAGGTTGGAAGTGAGTCATAGTTTCTAGGATGATTTTTTTCTTTTTTTCTTCTTTTTTTTATACTTTAGTCGTATTTCTTTTATAGAAACAAGATTGCAGTATGTAAATTGTGTTATCAACTAAGTTATGATTGTTTCCTATTTATTAAATGCAATAGATAGAGATTAGAATTTCATATATGTTACAATATAATGAAAATCGAAATGTAGAGTTGCATAAAAAAGCAAAGGCGGTGGGGAGGATGACGAAAACAAGATTTTTCAGGATATATAAAAAGATATTTATTTCTAAAAATAGATCGTTTATAAGTGTGAGCGAGATTTTCATGAGCGGAATAGATTTGTATGGTCAGTCAGTCAGTAACAACGTAGAACTTCGTACGTACGTACATCAGTTCGAGTTGCCACACCACATTAGCACAGAGATGCAGTTGTCGATTCAAATCCTGTAGTGGTAGAGGTAGTAAGAATATAAGCAGTAATCGGGAAGATTAGTGTTTGGAGATGTTATTTAAAGAATATAATGTAGTGAAATAAATTTGGGAAGAGAAACAAAGAGACAAAGAAGAATCAGGAGATTAAAATTTGGGAGAACACAAAGAGTGGATGCACCCGCCCAATCGCAAACGATTTTGAGCCATGTCATTCAAGGTCTCTATCCATCAGTCGCTATCAGATAGTCTACACCTACCAACATGGCTCAGTTCACTTGTCAGTAGCTTCATGGACTTGTGCCATGTTTTGGTCTGGCCGCCCCTATCTTTCTTCCAACCTACTCCTATACCATTGAACATCGCACGTCGAGGCAGTCGGTGGTTGGGCATACGTAACACGTGTCCCAATCAGAATATAATTACTGATCAGAACTTCTATGGAATGATTTATAGGATTCAACTGGTTATTTGTAGAAGTTTCTACAAGTATGATTTTCTCTTTAATAGCCTAGATTAACTCTGTGCCTAACTACTGTAAACCTATTGGTTCAGATTTAGTCTAAAGAAAAATTCAAAGAATGAATTGACATAGTGGTGACTTCATATAGCAAAACAAACTTCAAATGAAATCGAATGAATCCTTAACCATCACAGTATTAGTATTTTATTGAACGAATAATACTCTTAACTCTAAACTAATAAGAGTCAAAAATATGATACCAAACGGAGAACAACATAACCGTGTCTAAGAGGTCAAATGTGGTGACTTTAATGTTGTATATGTGACTAAGATCCCAGCGGAGGAAGAAATCAGGAAGAAGCACTTGCAGTGGATAGGACAAACATTGAAGAAAGCACCCAACTGCATCACTAGGAAAGCCCTCACATGGAATCCTCAAGGCAAAAGGAGAAGTGGAAGATCAAAGAACACATTACACTGAGAAATCGAGACAGATATGAGAAGAATGAACAAGAATTGGATGGAACTACAAAAGAAGGCTCAAGACAGAGTGGGTTGGAGAATGCTAGTTGGAGCCCTATGCTCCATTGGGAATAACAGGCGTAAGTAATTAAGCTGTGGAGAATCCATTAAATAAAAGAATTCATGTTTTTCTGCTACGATATTTGTTGTTTGCTTATTCAAGTTTACACCTGGAAAAAGTATGAAATGCAAATTTTACTTGATTCACATTCCTAAATCCTCAGAAGATTGGAAAACTCAAAAACAAGTAGGCGATACCACTGCATTCAGTAAACTCTGGACGTATAATCGATTTTATTGAGGCAACAATCTTTCAGAAGGGTTTTATTCGTACAAAAAGAGATCGACGGCTGAAGTCCTATACACATGAGGAAATTAAAGAGACATAAACATGAGAGATGGTATATAAATATATCGCTCGATGTGTCATTTACTTTCCCGTATATATATATGTGCTTGAATCCTATTGATTGATTCGACTCGACTCGACTTTGAATTCGTTTCTGTACTTGCTTGCTTATGCGCATTAGCCTTTCTCTTCAAATTCACTTAGTGTATTTGTAGCCTTGCTATCTGTTCTATCCAATAATAAACTGTAGTAGGTGCTTCGTGTTACCTTCTGAATTTATGTATGTCTGTCAAACTACATCGACCGAATAGAAATATGGGTATATCTTTAACTTTCTAAACATGTTTCAAAAGGCTTTCGAACAAAAGAAAGAACTGTTTTATATAGCTCATTTACTAAACATGTTCTGGATACAGAACATAGAGTTGATAACTCAAATTCTGTTATCCCAAACATCACTTAAAGGTAGGAGTTACAGTGAAGGACTATTTATTTAACGAACCGGAATACTGAAGAATGATAAATCTCCAATCTGAAAGCTCGAATCGCTTTTTTAAGCTCCTCTGGTAACCACAGGTTAATTTTGCACGACAACTTAAACACGAGAGAAAAGGCGCAAAATGTGGAAAGAACGCGTTAATACAAGGCTAGTTCATGTACATAAAATTTAGGTTATTTATAGCATTTCAGATTGCCTTGGACTTCTGGAAGTGTCTAGAATCCTACTAAATATAGTAGCAGGATGGATAATCATCCATTTGGAAATGCAACACATGACTTTTCACTTTCTGGATGTTTCTGAGATATTTTTATTCAATGCTGACAGATAAGATGTTTTCCAGCGTTTCCAGAGCCTCTTTGGGTTTTTTTCGAGGGATTTTCTGGGTCTCCCCAACAATTACATCACTACATATTTTTACTTCAACTGTCTTCTAGATTAGTAATCTTATTTTAACTAACCAAACTTTTCTCATTTTATGCTTACTTATTATTGGAATTAGTCCGTAACGTGACCATTTATTTCTAGCCCTTCGAAGTATTGTTACTATCGGTGTCATAGAATTTTCTTACACATGAGATATATATATTTACGATAGTTTATTTGGGCTATTCATTTGATTTACATCCTTATTATACTACACTTAGGTTTGATCGTATTAATTTCCAACTAAACTCATTCAATCGGAAATCAACAAACACATTGAAATCGATTTAATCTAACAGCCAATCAGAAAAGTTATGGACAAATATAGGATCAAGAATCAAATCAGTGGGAGATACAATCAAAATAAAGAAGTAGACAAGGACAATTTAAAGGTCAATAATTAAAAGTCAGGATTGATGTCAACAGGACAAGGTGTGTGTTATATGTGTAGAAGTTTGAACACTTCACTCCTAACTGAAGATTATGTTGATGATGTCGTTCAGAAGTATGATGGAAGTTGTACGATTGAACCATCCAACTTGGAGAACAAAATTTTACCTATATAATCCACTTGAGCTACAAATCTCCACCATCCCTTTTCTATGTATAAACAATGAATGCTAAAGACAGAACAGTGATAAATCGGCCATCCCCTATATATTCAGTTTGTAATAGATCATTCCATACACATTTTTGAACTGAAACCTATATGGATGTTTTCGACACTGAATGATATTATACAAGCCTATCAAGTGAAAATGTGGCTCCAAATGATTATATATTTATTCTTCAGTAAACTAGAATAATATATATTAAACTCCCCTCATATTTCATGAGCTGGATAATCTGAGTAACCTTCATGAATGTGAGTCTATTCATACTCTTTTGTTGACAAAAATTTAACCTGCACAGTCCCAAAAATAACTTTTAATGATGTGCATGAGACTAATCTTACAAAAACTAGTCACAAACTGACAATACCTCATAAACTCAAGTCAAAATAATCGAGTGAAGAAAATGTTTAATAAATTAAGTGATATACTCCACCTGGAACCCCTCTGGGACTACTGCCAGTCCCAAGCCTGGATAAAGGAAGAGGGTTGGGCATGGGGTTAGTGACCGCATCCCATAGGAAACTAACTCGCTAAAGAAACGCTAACCAGAAAAAAATAAATCAAATTAGAAGTAAGTAGTGTTATAAAAGTCAGTCTTTTCTTTCAAAAACAAAAAAAAGAATTCTGGATAGACAAATTTGAGAAATGAGTTCATTTCAACGAATATGATGAAAGATTAAATCTTGTATGATGAATAAGTTTTTCATTAAACGTTAAATAAACTTAAAGTCGTTTTTTTTTCTCTCTCAAAATGAACTTTTAATGGAAGTTTGTAATCAAGTGCATAACAGTTTCCTTTTTTTTTGTTCTATATCCTATAATTCCTTTCATCATGAAATAGTTATCCTTTTCTTCATTTCTTCTATATTCTGTCAACAAATCTATCTATTAACAGATTAGATATTAAAACTTGAATAGGAAAGTATTCAAAAGTACATCTATTTCAAACATTCAGGCAAATGATAAGAGATGAAAAAGAAAACATGGATGTGAACTGGAGTGTTAGTCGTAGTAGTCGACGTTTCAATGAGTAATAGGTAACTTGATATTTATGAGTATGAAAGTGATATAAGAGATAAGCACTAGGATACATAAATGTATAAAGCATGGTCAGCTTTACATGTGAATATTTGACATGAATGGATTATAAATGATAAGATAAATAGAAGGATTATGATAATTTATTTATTCAAAGGTTAAAACAATTTGTATAGGCATTTAATAACAATGATCTAATACAACTTACTCTATAAGACAGTGAATTTGACATTTCATTCAATTTGAATTCCATATTAACAATTACAGTAAAGTTGAATATCACAAATGAAGTGGTTCATTATTTCATAAAATGATAGTGTTTAAGAATCCTCTACCAGAAATAACAGAAGCTTCAATCTTGTTCATTCGATGCTAATTATGGTTTTAATAATTTTTTCTGGTTAGCGTTTTTTTAGCGAGTTAGTTTTCTATGGGATTGGGTCGCCAACCCCATGCCCAACCCTCCTCCTTTACCTGGGCTTGGGACCGGCAGTAACTCTAGAAGAGCTACAGGCGGAGTTGATGCTAACTATACGAGTCCCAAATAGAACAAAACACGTATGCTGGTTTCCACTGCTAGCCACTATCCATCTTTGTTTATACGTTATTATGTTGCAAATTATTTAGAAATGTGC